AGTTTAGTTTTACGCCGCTTTTAGCAATATTCCAGCAATATCACGGCGGGGGACACCAGAAATGGGCTTAACACATTGTGCCCATGTGGGAAATCGAACCCGAGTCTTCGGCGTGACGAGTCAACGCTTTAACCACTAGGCTACCCCACCGCCCCACCTCACCTCACAGGTTGCTGGAGAGTAATAACCTGTAATTCCCTGGTGGAACAAGCATTTATTGGTAATGATACTGGTTCTTATCAGCTATACACAACAGGTACAAATTTGACTAGTTTATATCATTCCTACCCACAATGTACGTTCATTATTTCTATCAATAGTACTTATTTAAGCCATGCAAAGAACGACAGCATTTTCTTTGTCAGCCATGCCTAAGGTCTTGCAAAAATGACTGTATTATAATATTTGAATTTATGTGATAGTCTTAAAAGATCACATTGGGGTTTCCCTTGACAATGTGTTTAATCATATACAACAGGGAATCCCGGATTGTTAAGGAAACTGCATACCGCAGTGAATCATCTCGGTTAAATTTGATTGGTAAAAATTGTGCGAGTGTATGTAAACATGGTGGCATGGTAACAAATTACAAGGTTTTTTATCAGAAACAAGACTTTGCCTCGATGACTTGTAAACAGTCAAGTAAAATCAAATTGCTGTACAAATAATGAATGAATTGCTTACAAAAACACTGTCGGAAATAGAAAAAACTTTTTTTTTCACATTTATATCCACAATTTATGTAGGTAATATGTGAAAGTGTGAAATATCTGTTAAACTAAGTTCAGCCTAACTACAGTCTCAGTGGTAGGGAGGTAGGAAACGGAGACAAGGACTTTACTGAGGAGAGATTAGTGCAGAAATGAGCAATGCGTTTTTTTGTCTAAGTCCAAGTCGACTTATTTGGAACAGACCATGGCTTTATGCAAATCAGTGTGGGATGATATTGTATTACAAAGGACACTTTTTAAATTCCCATTTTGAAATTAGACGAGCTTCATTATAAACTATAGCTAACGTACAAAATAATATCTTAAATTGTGAAACTCTTAAGGATGTAGCTGCCATGGAGTCTCACTACCACTATCAAAACAAACAGACATGGGGGTCGTCTCAAAAGCAAAACCAGGTTGGGTGTTGCAGAAGGTGGTTGGGGTCGGGCTGGGGGATAGAGATATCAGCTAAGATAAGATAATCCTTTAGGGGAATCAAACTGGGCAAGTAACAATTTACAAATAATATCCAGTCCTGTCAATCTTTGGGTGGACATGCTCCCTATATATTTTGAGACATTTAATACAATGGCTTTCTATGGGTATCATACTATTTTACATATCTCAACATCAACTTTATGAAAGAAACGTTAGATGTTAATCAACATGTGACACATATTCAACACACAGGAAAACACATATATTATCTTTGAGATAACCCCTTGTGCCCGTAGGCAGCACATGCAGTTCATGCCAGGTGTGTCGACGTTCCGTCGTCATACCTGGCTGAGTGACCTAATTGTCATCTATAGTTTGATCTATTGTCTTAAACAGCTAGTCGTATTTTTTCTAAGTTTTGCCCGATTTTACGAGTAAACATGCTTTTCTGGATATCCTATTACGCATCCCACTGAACACCCAGTTAGGCCGATGTTTTTTTTTTTCGACATATGCTATTTGCAACTGTGTAAATTGTGTAAATTTCAGAGTAACAGCCAAACAACAGGTTTTTTTTTATTTCCGACAGTACTTTAGTATCACTGGTCACACTCAATTAAATTCCATTCATGCAGTACACTAAATGTACTCTAAGTTTTTCCAGTACTCCTGATGTTGAAAGATTATCTGGAGCCCTGTACAATTCAACAATATTTATATAACAAGTCCTAGTTAAACGACATTGGATAGTTGCAAGTGGCTCATTAGTGATTTGGTCCTGCGGTGTAGACCGGTACCTTCTATTCACAGTACACAGACAAAACAATAGGCTAGTTAACAGCTGAAGGTTACAGTCGATGACTTTGAAACCCTCATCCCAATATCTGTCTGTATTCTGGCACAGACCCTTCTTAATGAATGATCGTATCGCTCGTATCGTACTAAAATGACTGATAGAAAGCATGGTACACAGGCTCAAACTATATTACATGGTTACACTGTCAGCATATATATTACTACATAACATGATCCCCGACCGCGTCATGCCAAAAGACGTTAACATATGGTACTTGTTGGTCCCTGCCTGGCGCTCGGCATTAACGGGTACAACTGGGTGGCTCGGGAGTCAGTATAATGTGTCTGAGTGGGGTATTCATGCTTCACTGTGGCATGGTATCTCAGTGGGCTGCCACTATAAAACCAGTCTGGACTAGTACAAGCAGCCGCACATACACATACACACGCATGCACATCGTCATATGAGCGAAATATTCTCAAGCACGATGTAAAACCCAATTTCACCTCACCTCCCCTCACATGATGACTACATTACATGATGCTAGCACATATTATTCGTCACACAGTGTTTTGAAAAGGTGTACAGGACTCAGGAAATACGGAATTTACAAGGGTCTTACAGGTCGTACACCCCGGCAAATCTGCCTACATGGTTTTATATGCTTTGGCTACTGACCAATCAGAACTTGACAAATTTATCTTAAAGGGTAATAAATTACTATATTGAACGATGTCACCACAGATATCCCAATGTTACACGGTGTCAAAATACATTTGACAATGTTACAGTGTCAACACATATATCACCATGTTACATACTGTTATGGTACATATACTACCACGGTACCCAGGGTCAGGATATATATTGTCATGGTATGCAGTGGCAAGATACATACTACATTATCTTGCCTCACACATAAATGTCGCTTTCTGATTGGCTGAGCGCTCTTCTATTATTTTCAATGTACATTTTAATGTACCCCGCTGTCAATGGCAACTCATTTGGTACTTCGTGGTAGTAATTCTTTATCTCGAATAACATTGAATCACATATGATGTACGGAAATTACCGATGTTTTGCGAATGCAAATCGATGGAAGGGAGATAACTCTAAATCTGTTTATCTTGTCTATCTAGCGATGGTTACAAAAGGATTTGTATCCGTGCTTCAAACAATTCAAAATTAACATTAAGGTGTTCGGTAAGATAAATACGTTGTTCACTGGTCCCTCGGGGCCCATGGGTTGATGTACCCTTGATGTTTGTTTATGTTCCCCTCGACCTTCGGGCTCAGGGAACATAAACAAACATCGAGGGTACACCAACCCATACCCCCCTCGTGACCAGTGAACAACTTATAATGATACCCTGTGTGAGGACATATTTGATATATATTACCAGGGTATACTGTATGAAGATATATACATTACCATGATACATAGTGTCTGGAAATACATGATGTATATAATACCAGGGTTGACTGTATGAAGACATATATTACCATGGTACATAGTGTCAGGATATACCTGATATATATTACCATGGTACACGGTATGAAGGTATATATTACCATGATACATAGTGTCAGGATATACCTGATACAGTGGAAACCTGATAAGTAAAATTTCAAGGGACTCGCCAAAATTGTTTACTTAACAGGTATTTAACTTATCCAAACTTATAAAAACCTGCAAATGACAACCATATGCATGTATATGTATGCATATGTAACAATGAACAACTTATCAGGGCTGGCCTCCAGTTGTCAGTGTATTGTCAACTGCTTGACACCAGCGAGCTGTAAGTAGGATGTTTGTTTGACTGGGGACTGACACGACTGCCCCTCATGTCGGATTATGTGGTGTACATGTGTATATTAGCATGGTAGACCGTGTGAAGAGGTACATTACCATGGTACACTGTGTGAAGACATATGTCACTTTGGTACACTGTGTGAAGATATATGTTAACATGGTACACTGTGTGAAGATATATATTACCATGATACATAGTGTCAGGATATACATGATATATATTACCATGGTACACTCTATGAAGGTATATATTACCATGATACATAGTGTCAGGATATACATGATGTACATGTGTATATTAGCATGGTAGACCGTGTGAAGAGGTACATTACCATGGTACACTGTGTGAAGACATGTCACTTTGGTAACTGTATGAAGATATATGTTACCATGGTACACTGTGTGAAGATATATATTACCATGGTACACTGTATGAAGGTATATATTACCATGATACATAGTGTCAGGATATACCTGATATATGTTACCATGGTACACTGTATGAAGGTATATATTACCATGATACATAGTGTCAGGATATACCTGATATATGTTACCATGGTACACTGTATGAAGGTATATATTACCATGATACATAGTGTCAGGATATACCTGATATATGTTACCATGGTACACTGTATGAAGGTATATATTACCAAGATACATAGTGTCAGGATATACCTGATATATGTTACCATGGTACACTGTATGAAGATATATATTACCATGATACATAGTGTCAGGATATACACGATGTACATGTGTATATTAGCATGGTAGACCGTGTGAAGAGGTACATTACCATGGTACACTGTGTGAAGACATATGTCACTTTGGTACACTGTGTGAAGATATATGTTACCATGGTACACTGTGTGAAGATATATATTACCATGGTACACTGTGTGAAGATATATGTTACCATGGTACATACTGTCAAGATATGAATAACCACATAACACAGTTTTATGATTACCATACACAAATACCTGTTTCGTTTTAGGCCGCTATTAGCAATATTCCAGCAATATCACAGCAGGGGACACCAAAAATGGGCTTCACACATTGTGCCCATGTGGGGAATCGAACCCGGGTCTTCGGCATGACGAGCGAATGCTTCAAGATTACCGTGGTACACAGTGTATAACAGTGTGCTATGGTATTCAATGCCACGATATAATCTACAGTGAACAGGTACCCAAATCCAGATCATGTCAGCAGAAAACAAGCCGCTCACCTCATATGACACAGTACTGCTCTATCACCATGCGGGCAAGGTCATGGGAACCACTCTTGATGTAGATGAGAGCCAGGTTGTGGGCGATCTCCATTCTCAGATCAAATATTCCCTGCAAACAACAGACCCCTGTCAGACAGTCTCTGGTCATATTTCAACACAATTTTTAAAGAATAACTACAATTCGAACTAACCTGTAGAGGTTTCAGATTCTTTGAATATATTCCTCCTTGGGGTACTTATAAGCATTTAAATGTCCATTTAAATTCCCTACGACAGTTGTAACAATATTTGAATAAAAATATTTACAAAACAAAAACTACGTTTTGTCTTGTGAGACCACCCTTACAGGGCCCTCCGGCCCCCTACAGCCAAGAGCAGGTAACTCTAGACCGTAACCTCGTACCTCACTTCCCATGCTGAACAACGTCAGACAGAATGTGGGGAGGTGGGCGGGCGTACCCCAAGGAGGAATATATTCAAAGAATCTGAAACCTCTACAGGTTAGTTCGATTCTTTTTTATATATTCCTCCTTGGGGTACTTATAAGCATAAGACAGACTCCTAAAGACGGAGCTAAGGAGCGGCATTCTGTCTGCAGAAAACACCCCCGACAAGAAGTGGAATTGCCCAAGCTAAATATAGCAGAAAAAGCACCCTTACCCGGTCACGTGTCCACCATAGCCAATCAGGCGGGGGCATGAGCCAGGGTCAGGGTCGAACATATGTAAATTGCCCAGCGAAACCTCGCTAATGCAAACTAACGAGACACACCCTCCCTCCCTCCCGTAATCTACTCGGAAGCGAAGATAAGGGTCCCGCAAAAAGCCACCAGAAACGAAATGCCTTAATATATATATATTTAGCAAAGTTTCCAAGGCCAGTTAAGTCTAGAGCAGAATGCAAAAGACATGGGAATAAAAACCATCACCACATAAAACCCGTCACCAAGGGAATATGTAAACAAGATTTTTAAAACCCAACACCAGTGTTAAAAAATTTGGCATAGAATGGTTCACATAATAAAATCCTCGAAAGCTCAATCGGCTAGAGAGGTGGAACCATGCCCACTGGAGAGATCTGACTGACCGAACCGAAAGCACGCTCACTGGAGAGTCTGTCAAGTTGGTAATGACGGATGAACGTACTCGGACGGTTCCAATTAGCCGCGGAGCAGATCTCCTCAATGGGCAGGGCTGCAGCGTAAGCTTTCGATGTAGCAACTGCCCTAACCGAATGAGCTTTCAACCCTACAGGCAGGATACGCCCTGTTTGAGTATAGCTCATATGTATGGCAGAGACAAGCCACCGAGAAATGGTTGGCTTGGTCGCCGGAAGACCAGCCTGAACCCTGCCATAACAACAAAACAATTGGTTACCCTTACGGGTACCCCTTGTTCGTTTGATATAAGCCTTAAGTGTCTTACGGACATCTAAGACGTGAGCACGTCGTAGAGAGGTACCGGACAGGGAAGGCTGAGTGAAAGCTGGGAGCTCAATAGGCGCCGTCACATGGAAGGGACTATCCTTCTTAGGACGGTAAGTATCAGGCAGCCGTATGCTAACTCTGTCTTTGTGAAAACAGTAAGCGCGGATCGGCCCGACATTGCGTGAATATCGCCAACCCGCCTGCCCTGAAGTCACCGCCACAAGAAACGCCGTCTTCCACGCCAACAGCTGGATTGAAAGAGCCGACAGATTGTGAAACAGTGGACCGGACAGCCAATCAAGAACGATTGACAAGTCCCACGGGGGACTAATCCGCCGGACAACCGGACGGATTCTGTCCACACCTGCTAAAAAGCGCTGCACAAGAGGGTGCTGCCCCAAGAGAGCACCGTCAACAGGAATATGAAACGCAGAAATAGCCGTAGAATATCCTCGAACAGTTGAAGCCGCTAGACTGGCGTCCAACTGAGACTGGAGGAATTCTAAAACAGAGACTAAATCTGTAGAAAAGGGATCAAGAATCCCCCTGTTGACACACCAGCGCGAATAACAGGCCCATCTATCCTCATATTGAACGCTTTGTCCGAATCCTCCGCTGGGCCAGAATTGTGTCTGCAACTGGTGCAGGAATTCGGCTTCGACGGAGGCGATCCCTGACAGTGGCCAAGCCACCCACTGAATCCTGGGATTCGGTGGGCCTCGCTCTGGGATAGGAGGTCCGGTCGAAAAGGTAATAGAACAGGAGGCTGAGCCAGAAACCTGAGAATTACCGAAACCAGCGTTGTGCCGACCAAAGGGATGCCAGAAGCACAAGTAGCCGAGCTGGTTGTGCGGTCAGCTGTGACAGGACCTTGGAAATCAATGGTATCAGGGGAACCCCATAGTAGCCTGTCCGTCAAATCGAGCTGAAAGGCGTTGGCTAACGCTCGGATCCGAATCCGGGGAGCAAAACACAGGAATCTGGTTCGTCACCCCAGACGTAAACAGATCCACCTGGAACGACCGAACAACTGGGAGATAATCCCGAATATCTCCCGGTCGAAAGCATCCACTGTGTGGGGTAGTATACACTGTGAGAGTGCATCTGCACGGACGTTGTCTACCCCCGGGAGATAAACAGGCAAAACCCGAATGCTGAACTGATCGCACCACAGTAGAAACTGCCACGCCTCCTGAAGGAGTGACGGAGAAACTGTGCCGCCTTGCTTGTGAATGTAAGACATGGCCGTTTGATTGTCCATTTCTAGACGAACCACACGGCCCTGCACCAACACCGGAAGCACTCGAAACACCCTGACTGCTCTCAGTTCTAACACATTGATGTGTAGGCTGACTTCCCGCCCGACAGAGGCCGCTGAGTGCTGTAACACACACACACACACACACACACACACACACACACACACACACACACACACACACACACACACACACACACACACACACACACACACACACACACACACACACACACACACACACACACACACACACACACCTGTGAGGGAGGCGTCCGTCTGAACTGAGAGGGAAGGTGTCGGGGTGTCGAGGGGGATCCCCCTGGACAAATTCCCGACGTCCGTCCACCATCGCAAGTGAGGAATTAACCACTCGGGTGTTGTGAGAATAATCTCGTAGCTCTGCGAGTGGGACCACAGCTGAGCTAACGCTTGCTGAACTGGTCGCATCCTCAGACGCGCACGCCAAACCACGTCCACTGTCGCCGCCATGTTGCATAGCAACCGAAGCCATGTTCGGGCCGACGCATTGGGCGACTGGAGAAACTGTAACACAGTCCTCTGGACTTTGACGATGCAGTCCGGAGCAAGGGAAACAATCCCTAGCTCCGTGTTGAATCTGGCCCCCAAGAAAATCAGATCCTGCGTCGGAACGAGGTCTGATTTCTTGAGGTTGATCATTCTTGAGGTTGAGGTTGATAATCCAGCCCAGTGACACCAGAGTATCCATCACGCACAGTGTGGAGGCTCTGCTTAACTGAGGACCTAAGGCCCTGAGAAGCCAATCGTCCAGGTACGGGTGACAACACCTGCCCTGAGACCTGGCTAACTGAGCTGGGATTAGCATAAGTTTGGTGAACACCCTTGGCGCCGTGGAGATGCCGAAGGGGAGCCCACAAAACTGGTCCCGTCGAAGGAGAACCGGAGGTACTTCTTGAACTCGGGGTGCATTGGAACATGGAGGTATGCGTCTTTGAGATCGATTGACGTAAGCCAATCCCCTGTCTCGACGGAGGAGATCACTGACCTGAGTGTCTCCATCCTGAAAGACGGCACCTCCAGTAACTGGTTCAACCCTCTGAGATTCAGAATGGGTCTGAACCCTCCGTCCTTTTTGGTCACTAGGAAGTAGGTGGAATAAAACCCTCCTCCTTGCTGACCCACAGGAACCACCTCGATGGCTGCCTTGTTCAGTAAGGACTGAACTTCGGCACGGAGTGCGTCCGCCTTGTCGCGGGAGGTCGGCACAGGCGTGTGCCGAACCCCGGAGAAGAACGGAGGATCTCGCCTCCACTGTGGCAAATGGCCATCCCTGAGCGTGGACAGGACCCAGGGATTTGAGGTGGCTGCCTCCCACTCCCGGAGGAATAGGGACAACCGGCCGCCGACAGGGACGTGTGGCATGAGGCAGTGCACCCCCACAGTCGGCAAGTCGGGACAATAAGGGCTCTGGGGAAGGAATCAGCGGGTGCCGACACAACAGGGGGGCTGGCAGATACAGGAGCAGGTTGAGATATAGATGTATTAGTTTTCTCCAACGAAGCCTCCTTGGAACCCTTAGCTCTTTTGGGAGCCGGCTCCGTATGGGAAGCGGCTCCCGTAGACCCCTTTTTTTGTGTGAACGCTTGGACGGGGGATCCTGAGCCCAGATATCACCCCCCGCCCGAAGCAGGTTGCTGTAAAACAGCCGGTCCACCCGTCGTGCCTTAATAGTTTGAGGCATAAAAATGGCACACGCCAGACACCCCTCTTCCTCATGATCAGTTTGGATGAGGCAACGTAAACACACCTCGTGCGTGTCCCTGACGGGAATGGCAGTGAGGCACGAAGTACAGGATTTAAACTGCAACAAGTAAAAAACCTGTGCAGCAATCAACCCCATACACACATACATATATGAAAAAACACGCATGGGCGACACAACCAATGCGACAACGTAGCATACAGTTGACAATAATCATAATACGCACTGCAACATAACTAACAATTACGACTTTTAGCGTAAGATAGAAAATGCTAGCAGCGGAAACGCCCTACATGTAACAACATATAAATAAAAAGTACTATAACCACCTGTAACATTGAAAAACCACACGGGAAACCAATGAACAGGGAGGTTAGCGAAGGGACCTGTGCCATCTTGACACGCACCCGGCGAGCCGACCGCGACAGGTACCAAGTTACAACTAGAAATTATGAATGAAAAAGTTCAGAACAAGCCTCCAAATCGCCCATGCAGGGAAAAAAGAGAACCATACATACAGTTGCTGTTTCTGACACACTCATAATTTTGCGCAGGGAAAAGAAACCTTCTTGAATGGACCCACGTCTTGCCGGTAAACGACAGCATGGAAAGTGAGGTACGAGGTTACGGTCTAGAGTTACCTGCTCTTGGCTGTAGGGGGCCGGAGGGCCCTGTAAGGGTGGTCTCACAAGACAAAACGTAGTTTTTGTTTTGTAAATATTTTTATTCAAATATTGTTACAACTGTCGTAGGGAATTTAAATGGACATTTAAATGCTTATAAGTACCCCAAGGAGGAATATATAAAAAAGAATTTTTAAATTCATATAAGGAACAAATCAAATTCAGAGGAACTAATCCATATCTTCATTAAATTCATCTCCCTAAAACAGAATTTGTTTCCAGTTTAAAATCAAATTTGATTTTTACTTTCATTTTACTGGCCTGAACAAATCTGAATACCATTTTGTTAAAGGTGGTACTGTATTAGTTTGAGCATGTTTGGGGTATTGACTTGCTCTCCCCTGAAGAAATATATACACAACATATCTGTCATATTTTGCGGTATATGGTACTTTTAAACGTAAAGTATGTGACTTATCGTGAACTGTTGACTGTAGCTTACCTTATCATGTTTAATGATGGGAGGACACGCCAGGGCTTTCTTGTAGTAGTATACAGCAGCATACTTCAGCTCTGTGGACAAAACAGATCAATCATCAAATAAAATATCAGACACTGTATACTTCAGCAGTATATCAGACACTCTACACTTCACGAGTATATCAGACACTATATCAGACACACTGTGTATGCTTCACTGTATGCTTCACGAGTATATCAGACACTGTATGCTTCACGAGTATATCAGACACTGTATGCTTCACGAGTATATCAGACACTATACTTTACGAGTATATCAGACACTGCATGCTTCATGAGTATATCAGACACTGTATGCTTCACGAGTATATCATACACTGTACACTTCACTGTATGCTCAGACATATCAGACACTGTACACTGTATATCAGACACTGTATGCTTCATGAGTAGATCAGACACTGTATGCTTCACGAGTATATCAGACACTGTATGCTTCACGAGTATATCAGACACTGTATGCTTCACGAGTATATCAGACACAATATACTTCACGAGTATATCAGACACTGTATCCTTCACTGTATCCTTCCACGAGTATATCAGATACTGTATGCTTCAATGAGTATATCAGAGTATATCAGACACTGTATCCTGTACTTAATGAGTATATCAGACACTGTATACTTCACGAGTATATCAGACACTGTATACTTCACGAGTATATCAGACACTGTATACTTCACGAGTATATCAGACACTGTATGCTTCACGAGTATATCAGACACTATATGCTTCATGAGTATATCAGACACTGTATGCTTCACGAATATATCAGACACTGTATGCTTCACGAGTATATCAGACACTGCTTATATCATGTGAATACATAAAACATTGCTCGTTCCACGTAAGTACATCAGACACTGCATACTTCACATGGGAATATCAAACACTGCCAATATCACTTACGTTTAGCAAATATTGCATATAAGAGACGAGTATGTCATACAAGGCCTATATCACATCAGTATACCAACGCAAATCAGGGTCCAAGCATGAAGTCAGGAGTCCATGTGACTGCCCAGATTTCCAAAGTTAACTACTCAGGGTTTCCTAAATTGAAATACTGAAGAAGCCAGCCTTCAAGGACTCTAAGACCCTTTACTTTGGAATGTTGCTGAAATGAATGACAAGTGTACATACCCAGCTGATGCATGGCGCGGCCGAGGTTGTACAGCGTTTCCTGACACTCACCCCGCAGCTCCACGTAGTTGTTTAGGAACGCCAGACCCTGTCAGTACAGATGCTACACTCAACTTTTGATTCTTGGAAACATTCAACATTTGAATATGTCAGCATGGTCAAAGATAACAAATAACATTAAAGGCCATTTCAAATAACATTATATACCATACTGTCTATCTGCATATGGGCACTGACCTGTGTGAAGAGGTAGTGTTTCTTGGTGGTGAACTTCTGACACACCATGTGGATAAAGCACAGCCCGATACACAGGCTGATGAGGGGATCCCTCGGAGTCTGCCGGAACACTGCCATATACTCCCTGAAGACAGAATCAGAAGCAGTCATATACTGTTTCCCTGACAACACTGACATATATTCCCCTGACTACAGAACCAGAAGCAGTCATATACTGTTTCCCTGACAACACTGACATATATTCCCCTGAAGACAGAACCAGAAGCAGTCATATATTGTTTCCCTGACAACACTGACATATATTCCCCTGAAGACAGAACCAGAAGCAGTCATATACTGTTTCCCTGACAATACTGCCATATATTCCCCTCAAGACAGAAGTAGTCATATCCTATGACCCTAAAACACTGGTATTTACTCCCCTAAAGACAAAAACAGCTATGTATACAGTTACCTTGACAACACTGCCATATACCGCCCAGAAAGCAGACCAGAAGTACTTACATACTGTTTCCCTGACAATACTGGCATACACTCTACTGAAGACAGAAGCAGTCATATATACTGTTTTCCTGCTACATATGTACATACTCCCCTGAAGTCAGAACCAGAAGTACTTACATACTGTTTCCCTGACAACACTGGCATACACTCTTCTGAAGACAGAAGCAGTCACATATACTGTTTCCCTGCTACATATGTACACTCCCCTGAAGGGAGAACCAGAAGCAGTCATATAGTGTTATCCTGATGACATTGTTATGTATAATTGTTATGTTTGATGTTATCAATGCATGATAAAAGAAACTTTTTGCAACTGCCAAGTATGGCCATGCGTTAAAATGGCCCTGGTATCATGTACGAAACATAATCAAAAATCTGAAAACACAGTAGATAATGATAATCTTCGGAACAGTACTTCAACAGATGATGACATGGAGACTCAACTTATCACCTCCGACAAAAATGCCAGAATCTGTCATTGTAACCTAATAGCAACATTAGATGTCCACACTTTCAACCACATGTTTGCATCATCACAAGCTACCATGACAACTAACGATGGCATGAAGCACCCTCCTCTTATGACCCCTATTAGTTCATCACTAACTGTAGTCTTACCTAATGAGTGCTTGTATGTTCCGCTGATGAGACTGTTGTGGCCGTTAATGATGCCAAGAGCTCGAACCTCTGGATGCTGGTAGTGATATCAGGAATTGGTTAAAAACAAGATCAAAACTGGTTTAATTCTTTATTTGTCATTATTTAGCTGGTGCTTTGGAAGTAAACAAATAAAATGCAGTGATCAGAGTTTTCATGCCTTCGTAATTTGGATGAGCTAAGACGTGTCTTCAATCATACATTTAACCATCCAGTTTGAGTAATGACAAGAATTCCTCACCTTGAGACAGAGTCGGAGGGCAAACCGATTATGTCGGATATCCATTGCAAATGACATGACCTGGCCAAACAGGTTCCATGCCTGATTGTTCTCTAAATTCTGAAATGTAATAACATCATACAAGGACTGGCCACAAAACATACATGAGAGTCATGAAGAAATACATTAGAACATTAGGGTCAAGGCAATTGAGAGCAGTGTGTGAAATAGTTTCCAAATTTTGCTTGCCCCAAAATAATTCATTGGCCTGATATTTGAAAGTAGAAACTAAGTAAAAGATTACAAAAATAGATGAGAAAAAGATATTGTCATCAAGACACAGGTTTCATCATTAAGCTGCTAATATGATGAACATTTTTATCAGACCATATTTTTGCATGATTTAAAAGTGTATGATAACATAACAATTCAGAGAGAGTGATATATTCACAAAATGACCCCATGAAAATTCACTAGCCAGTCAGGCCAGTGACTGTGGAGATGTACTGGCCCTACTGGAATTTTGCTAGCCATAGGCTAGCAGGCCAGTGGCTATTTTGCACACTGCATGAGAGTCATGAAGAAATATATTAGAACATTAGGGTCACGACAATTGAAGACATAGGGTGTTGAGGGAACTTAACCAAAGATGGTAAAGAACCACCATTTCTTTCATATTACTATACATAGTCTGTCAGGTCATCATGCTCTTCAACATATTTTCAGCAGTATATGTGATTCACATTTCGAATGTCTATTCCAAATACACAACAAGTGTAGAAAGATTACTTCTGTCAATTTCAAAATCCTTATAGCCTCTTGTTGTTGAATGTTGTCACACCAGACTATTTTAAAAATTTCATCAAGTACAAAAGGGCAAAATGCAAAGCAGTTGTTAGATTCCATTTCTGATTGGTCAGCTAAGGTTGAAGAGAGGACATTTCTACATGACAACAAGTAACAGATTACTACACCATTCACACTCAGCTGCAACAAGAGAAACATATTGCTTGTTAGTTATTCTCAATATATGCCATGATTTGTTCTTCTTCAAACATTAAATGCTGCAATGAGGTAAATTTTGTTTGAGACATGGCAATCATCTCACCTTCATACATTCGTCTTTGACAAAGTTGTATGCAAACTGTCCATTCTTCATCAGCATGCAGGCTGTGAGACACATGAAGTCTGATTCCTGTTGAGGAGATGGTTTACATACATTGTCACGGTAGATGCAGGATCACCCAGATGTCAGGTGAGGTGAGGTGAAATGGGGTTTAATGTTGTAAGAATATTTCACTCATATGACGACGTGCGTGCGTGTGTGTGTGTGTGTGTGTGGCTGCTTGTACTAGCCCAAACTTAAGCTGGTTTTATAGTGCTAGCTCACTGAGATACCATGCCACAGTTAAGCATGAATACCCCACTCAGACACATTATACTGAGTCCGAGTTGATCAGTCCTTGTTGTACCCATAATGCTGAGCACCAGGCAGGGACCAACAAGTACCATATTTTAACGTCTTTTGGTATGACATGGCCAGGGATCAAACCCATGAACTTCCACTCTTCTGGTGGACACTCTAACCACTACCCCAGGGAGGCGGTCTCCCAGATGCCAGGCAGTAGAACACATACTTGTACTAAACCTTCTCAGTAAAGTACAGATCATGTTTGTGTGCAGTTGATACCTGAATCTGGGAGTGTGAGAATAATGGATCGGACTCAACCCAGAAAAATAATCCTAGAATCTGTACTTTACTGGGATTTAGTTGGTTGGTTTGTTGTTTAACGCCACACTCAGCAATATTCCAGCTATATGGCGGCGATGTGTAAATAATCGAGTCTGGACCAGACAATCCAGTGATCAACAGCATGAGCATCAATCTACACAATTGGGATATGATGACATGTGTGAACCTAGACAGCGAGCCTGACCACCCGATGCTGTTAGTCGCCTCTTACGACAAGGATTACTGAATGTCAATTCTATCCCGGATCTTCACGGGTACTTTAATGGGATAGTATAATCCCAAACATATCACATATTAAGTGGAAACCACAATAGTGGATTTAGTGCAGGTCTTGGACATGTACTACTTTCATGGAATCCAAATGTAAGTGTATTGTCGTGAGAAACAACAAATCCAAGCTGGGAATCTGTTAACAGAAATACAAGAAAAAGTATGTACAACAATATCCATACCTTGACCTTCACTGCATCATTCATGAACTGTGGACAGGCCAGTCCCAGGGTCGTGATCTCCAGCAGGTTCTCGTACTTCTCGTGTTTCACCAGGGACTCAAACAGCTGTGGATAGAGTGTAATCAGGTTGGTTTCCACTGTCAGACATCTTGAGTATCAATCACTAGCCTACTGTATGTGCTTCTTACTTTGTGATATAGACAAAGCATGCCATCAGACAGAAAATCAAACAATCAAAGCACAACCAAGTGAGTAAATGTTCTTCAGCCCTTGTCAGCCATATTCCAGCCATTTCACAGTTTTATGTTAGTGGTATCACAGTCACATCCAGCTATACCACCTCCATATTCCAGTGATATCACATCTATATTCCAGTGATATCACATCCATATTCCAGCTATACCACATCCATATTCCAGCTATATCCCATCCATATTCCAGCTATACCACATCCATATTCCAGCTATACCACATCCATATTCCAGCTATATCACATCCATATTCCAGCTATATCACATCCATATTCCTGCTATATAACATCCATATTCCAAGCTATATCATCATCCATATACCACATCCATATTCAAACAATATCCATATTCCAACTATATCACATCCATATTCCAGCTACATCACATATTCCATATTATATCACAGCCATATTCCAGCTATATCACATCCATATTCCAGCTACATCGCATCCATATTCAAACAATATCACATCCATATTCCAGCTATATCACATCCATATTCCAGCTACATCACATCCATATTCCAGCTATATCACATCCATATTCCAGCTATATCATCATATTCCATATATCCAGCTACATTCAGCATATCATATTCCATATTCCAGCAACATCACATCCATATTCCAGCTATATCACATCCATATTCCAGCTATATCACAGCCATATTCCAGCTATATCACATCCATATTCCAGCTATATCACATCAATATTCCAGCTATATCACATCCATATTCCAGCTTTATCACATCCATATTCAAACAATATCACATCCATATTCCAGCTACATCACATCAATATTCCAGCTATATCGCATCCATATTCCAACTATATCACAGCCATATTCCAGCTATATCACATCCATATTCTAGCTACATCACATCCCTATTCAAACAATATCACATCCATATTCCTGCTATATCACATCCATATTCCAACTACATCACATCCATATTCCAGCTATATATCATCCATATTCCAACTACATCACATCCATATTCAAACAATATCACATCCATATTCCAGCTATATCATATTCATAATCCAGCAACATCACATCCATATTCCAGCTATATCACAGCCATGTTCCAGCTATATAACATCCATATTCCAGCTATATAACATCCCTATTCCAGCTTTATCCACATCCATATCACAGCTATATCACATCAATATCACAGCTATATCACAGCCATATTCCAGCTATATCACATCCATATTCCAGCTATACCACATCCATATTCCAGCTATATCACATCCATATTCCAGCTTTATCACATCAATATTCCAGCTATATCACATCCATATTCAAACAATATCACATCCATATTCCAGCTATATCACAACCATATTCCAGCTATATCACATCCATATTCCAGCTTTATCCCATCCATATTTCACCAGCATCACATCCATATTCAAATATTATCACATCCATATTCCAACTATATCACAGCCATATTCCAGCTATATCACATACATATTCCAGCTACATCACATCCATATTCAAACAATATCACATCCATATTCCAAATATATCACATCCATATTCCAGCTATATCGCATCCATATTCCAACTATATCACAGCCATATTCCAGCTATATCACATCCATATTCCAGCTACATCACATCCATATTCAAACAATATCACATCCATATTCCAGCTATATCACATCCATATTCCAGCTATATCGCATCCATATTCCAGCTATATCACATCCATATTCCAGCTATATCGCATCCATATTCCAGCTATATTCTATCTATGCACTAAACTACTGTTATTAGAAGTCAAAGGGATTACTAATTTTAGTTCATTATAACTATGGTTTGTAATAGCATTTCGACTAAAATATAGAGGAAGTGCCTGTTACTAACATAGTTTAATGTATATTACGGTCTTATTTCAGATACATTACAGCAATATTCCAACTACATCACAGGCATACCACAGATATATTCAGGCTATATCACAGGTATAACACAGTCATATTCTGGTTAGATTACATCATCCTTTAGAATAAACAAGTCTGGGTTAAGAAATCCAGTCTCTGACAGGACCGATCCACACAATCAGGGAACAATGCAATACAACAAGGTTAGAGAGTGTGACTATCTGATCTTCATTTAAGTCGTGATTTATGTGGACATGACCAGGAATAACCACAGGGAAATAAAAGGTAAGACTTCCACTCGTATCCCCCCTTCATTAACCAATGAAGACTATTAGTATGAAAACTAACAATACTCACAATTTAAAGTTAAGGGGGAATACAGGCGGAAATCTTTCCCAAATGAATAAAAGTTAAAAAGATACTACTGACATATTACCTGTTTGTAAATATCCCAGAGATCATCCACTTTGACCATCTTCTTGCCCTCGGTACTGACAGCCACTGTCTGCATGTTATCTGGGCAGTGACAGAGAGTCAGACTGTCTTAACATGGTCGCAATGTGGCATTAAATCGACTCTCACGCCCACTACCGGCCCAACATTATTTCAAGCAAACCCCATAGAGTTATGTCCCTTGGAGCACTCTTTACAAATATCATACACACAACATGTGATTGAAACCAGTTCGGCAAACACCGACAACACCGCGTGCAACAGTTTTCCATGTACGGAGCAATTGTTTACATTCCACATATGGCCAGTGTTCTCTGTTTGGAAGCTGTTCACCTCGAAGTTTCAATTATCGATTGAGGCAAGTCGTAAGTATAATACGTCTATTATTGCATCAACAGGAAGTTAAAGTGAGTGCATATGCCCCAATATATATAATATAGGCCAAAATATTGTTGAAATTGTGTGAAATTGTGCCTATAACCTCAACTTTTTAAGACCCAGAAATTAACCAGTTTGTAAAAGCAAGAGTGCAGGAGTAACTGGCAATAAATTATACAACAATGTTTAACAACCTCATAGATGACCTTGACCTTTGATAGAAATAGCCCAAGCATTAGATGTTGTTAATTTGTAAAGTAGCAAATATGTTCCATGCCATGTTTTACAGGTGAATTCTGGCAATATTCTTGCCCTAATCTGGACTAAAATCTACTCCCACCTATTCAAATCAGATGACCTTGTAATCTGAAGACTTAACCACCAACCTTTTCCAGTCTTATCCTGGTATGCAAGGAATGTCCGTAAGGCATCAGCTCGATGTTTGTGTGTTCGATACGAGAAAACAACTGAAATTGATAAAAGTCAGATTAAATGGTTATATATGCTTCAATGAGTTTAGCTTTATGCTGCTTTCAGCAATATTCCAGCAACATCACAGCAGGGGACATCAGAAATGGGCTTCACACATTGTACCCATGTGAGGAATCGAACCCGAGTCTTCAGCATGACAAGCAAACGCTTTAACCACTAGGCTACCCCACCACCCCAGATATGCTTCTGAAGACTATCCTATATTATACTTGAATCAGATGGTAGCTTTAATAGTTTGCTAATCTTATTTCTACATTGTGTGAATGATTGCGAAACAGGGCTTTAAAAACATCTCTGATGCCTCTGGAACAGACTGAGCAAGTGCATAGTTCCTGGACATGTGATCTTGACTTAATCTTCAGGTAGATTTTGCATAACAGCCCATGTGACTTATTTTTGGTTGATTTGTGACCATGACTTACTTTTCAAGTAAATCTTATGTGACAGAGACTTCTTCTTCCAGACAATGTGACTTACTCTTCATGAAGCTGGTGTTACAGCGGGACAGGAAGCTGCTGAAGAGAAGTTTCTGGCAGCAGGTGTGGAACTCCTCCACCTTGTTCTGGGAGTGAAGCAGGTGGCACTTGTGTAGCAGCAGCATCTGGTCGTCCTCGGACAGCTCGTCCTGCTCATCTGGGGACACACAGGTCAGTCAGAGCACAGGTCAGGGAGGTGTCATTACAGCAGTCGGTCACAATACGGGCCAGGGAGGTGTCATTACAGCAGTCGGTCACAATACGGGCCAGGGAGGTGTCACTACAGCAGTCGGTCACAATACGGGCCAGGGAGGTGTCACTACAGCAGTCGGTCACAACACTGTGCAGGAAGGTGTCATTAGAACACTGTTGGTTCAACACTGAACAGGGAGGTGTCATTAGAATACTGTTGGTCCCACACTGATAAGGGAGGTGTCATTAGAACAGTGTTTGTCCAACATTGAGCAGGGAGGTGTCAGAGTGAGTGAGTGCGTTGAGTTTTACACCGCACTTAGCAATATTTCAGCTATATGGCGGTGGTCTGTAAATAATCGAGTCTGGACCAGACAATCCAGTGATCAACAGCATGAGCATCGATCTGCACAATTGGGAACCGATGACATGTGTCAACCAAGTCAGCGAGCCTGACCACCTGATCCCATTAGTCGCCTCTAACAACAAGCATGGGTTACTGAAAGCCAATATTCTAGCCCAGACCTTCACGAGTCAGGTGTCATTAGAACACTGTTGGTCCAACAATGAGCAGCTAGGTGTCATGACAACACTGTCCATCACAACACTGGATCCTGTGTTAAAATATTCAGTCTGTTTTAGATTAGATTTCAGCTAAGCGTTAATAAATGGATATCATTTTTTTTTAGTAATGCCATAAATAACTCAGATTCAAACACTGTCCATCAAATGAAATTAGAGAGAATAAAGTCTATTCGGGTTTCAGACTTCTGTGACATGACACCTACCTCTGGACAGCACCTGCAGCCTCTTCATGCTTGCCCAGCTGCTGCTGCAGTGCCGACAGAGACACCCTGGCCCCGAAGTGACCCGGTGCCTTCTCCACACACTGGGTGTAGGCCTCCACCGCCCCCTGTAGCTCCCCCAGAGAGTTGAGGCATTCACCATACTTCAGCCACACCGCGGCCTACAGGAACACACAACAGGTCACTGTGTAGACCATGCAGGGTACTACGACTAAGCTCAGGGCAAGACTAACTGTGATCATCACGGCCTACAGGAACACACAACAGGTCACTGTGTAGACCATGCAGGGTACTACGACTAAGCTCAGGGCAAGACTAACTGTGATCATCACGGCCTACAGGAACACACAACAGGTCACTGTGTAGACCATGCAGGGTACTAAGACTAAGCTCAGGGCAAGACTAACTGTGATCATCACGGCCTACAGGAACACACACACAACAGGTCACTGTGTAGACCATGCAGGGTACTACGACTGACTAAGCTCAGGGCAAGACTAACTGTGATCATCACGGCCTACAGGAACACACAACAGGTCACTGTGTAGACCATGCAGGGTACTAAGACTAAGCTCAGGGCAAGACTAACTGTGATCATCACGGCCTACAGGAACACACAACAGGTCACTGTGTAGACCATGCAGGGTACTAAGACTAAGCTCAGGGCAAGACTAACTGTGATCAGTCTCCTATTACTCACTGAGCTGTTTTTCACTTGTAGACCATGCAGGGTACTAAGACTAAGCTCAGGGCAAGACTAACTGTGATCATCAATGGCCTACAGGAACACACAACAGGTCACTGTGTAGCGACTAAGCTCAGGGCAATTAACTGTGATCAGTACAAACTTTATCACACTGAGCTTTTTTCTTTGCAATCTCAATTATAACGACAATATCATAAGATCTTTCACTCAGATTTGGTACATTTTTACTTTAAAATCTGGGCCCTGTTCTACAAAGCAATCCTTGCCCAAAAAGATAGCAACTCCCATAACTTAACATAGACTTACAACAGTCAGAGTGGGCAGATCGCTTTGTGGAGAAGGCCCTTGACAAATTAGGGTTGAAATTTCTCGTTAGTCAGTTAATGTTAGTTATAAAAACATTCAGAGCAGGTCATCTGATTTCTGTATCTCGATTACCACCAACAACCACTTTCTTACTTTTATTAATATAAGAGCCATTTTTTATAAATGCCAATCACTTCTAAATTTTTTAAGAAATGTGACAATTTTTTTCTTTTGTTAATAAATTTAGGAATTGGATAAAAAAACTTATTAGCCCTTATTTGTGAAGAACACACATAAGCCTTCATTTGAGCTTGTGGCTCAAACCTCAATCATGTCAACCTCATTTATGCAAACAGTAAGCTTTGGAGTAAATTTATTTGCAATAAGAATGCACTTATAAATATAAAATTCTGTAAAGACTTCAAGTGTCTGTGACACCAATAACCCTGTAGTTTAAATTACACGTGAGCTGACGATCCACACGTACCTTGTCGAAGTGTTCTGAGCTGACCAGTGTTTTCAGTATCGGCTTGGCTTCTGTGTAATTCCCGTTCTCCATGTAGGCTTCAGCGACATCAAAGTAGAGATCTCCGGTCTCCTCCACATCCTCAACTAGAAGGGGGTGACACACATCCTACAGCAGCAACATGCACACCATTACCACCATCTACACACACCCTGAAGCAGCAACATGCACACCATTAGCACCATCTACACACACCCTGAAGCAGCAACATGCACACCATTACCACCATCTACACACACCCTGAAGCAGCAACATGCACACCATTACCACCATCTACACACACCCTGAAGCAGCAACATGCACACCATTACCACCATCTACACACACCCTGAAGCAGCAACATGCACACCATTACCACCATCTACACACACCCTGAAGCAGCAACATGCACACCATTAGCCCCATCTACACACACCCTGAAGCAGCAACATGCACACCATTACCACCATCTACACACACCCTGAAGCAGCAACATGCACACCATTACCACCATCTACACACACCCTGGAAGCAGCAACATGCACACCATTACCACCATCTACACACACCCTGAATTAGCAGCAACATGCACACCATTACCACCATCTACACACACCCTGAAGCAGCAACATGCACACCATTACCACCATCTACACACACCCTGAAGCAGCAACATGCACACCATTACCACCATCTACACACACCCCTGAAGCAGCAACATGCACACCATTACCACCATCTACACACACCCTGAAGCAGCAACATGCACACCATTACCACCATCTGCACACACCCTGAAGCAGCAACATGCACACCATTACCACCATCTACACACACCCTGAAGCAGCAACATGCACACCATTACCACCATCTACACACACCCTGAAGCAGCAACATGCACACCATTACCACCATCTACACACACCCTGAAGCAGCAACATGCACACCATTACCACCATCTACACACACCCTGAAGCAGCAACATGCACACCATTACCACCATCTACACACACCCTGAAGCAGCAACATGCACACCATTACCACCATCTACACACACCCTGAAGCAGCAACATGCACACCATTACCACCATCTACACACACCCTGAAGCAGCAACATGCACACCATTACCACCATCTACACACACCCTGAAGCAGCAACATGCACACCATTACCACCATCTACACACACCCTGAAGCAGCAACAGGCACACCATTACCACCATCTACACACACCCTGAAGCAGCAACATGCACACCATTACCACCATCTACACACACCCTGAAGCAGCAACATGCACACCATTACCACCATCTACACACACCCTGAAGCAGCAACATGCACACCATTACCACCATCTACACACACCCTGAAGCAGCAACATGCACACCATTACCACCATCTACACACACCCTGAAGCAGCAACATGCACACCATTACCACCATCTACACACACACCCTGAAGCAGCAACATGCACACCATTACCACCATCTACACACACCCTGAAGCAGCAACATGCACACCATTAGCACCATCTACACACACCCTGAAGCAGCAACATGCACACCATTACCACCATCTACACACACCCTGAAGCAGCAACATGCACACCATTACCACCATCTGCACACACCCCTGAAGCAGCAACATGCACACCATTACCACCATCTGCACACACCCTGAAGCAGCAACATGCACACCATTACCACCATCTACACACACCCTGAAGCAGCAACATGCACACCATTACCACCATCTACACACACCCTGAAGCAGCAACATGCACACCATTACCACCATCTACACACACCCTGAAGCAACATGCACACCATTACCACCATCTGCACACACCCTGAAGCAGCAACATGCACACCATTAGCACCATCTACACACACCCTGAAGCAGCAACATGCACACCATTACCACCATCTGCACACACCCTGAATTAGCAACATGCACACCATTACCACCATCTACACACACCCTGAAGCAGCAACATGCACACCATTACCACCATCTACACACACCCTGAAGCAGCAACATGCACACCATTACCACCATCTGCACACACCCTGAAGCAGCAACATGCACACCATTACCACCATCTGCACACACCCTGAAGCAGCAACATGCACACCATTACCACCATCTACACACACCCTGAAGCAGCAACATGCACACCATTACCACCATCTACACACACCCTGAAGCAGCAACATGCACACCATTACCACCATCTACACACACCCTGAAGCAGCAACATGCACACCATTACCACCATCTACACACACCCTGAAGCAGCAACATGCACACCATTACCACCATCTACACACACCCTGAAGCAGCAACATGCACACACCATTACCACCATCTACACACACCCTGAAGCAGCAACATGCACACCATTACCACCATCTACACACACCCTGAAGCAGCAACAGGCACACCATTACCACCATCTACACACACCCTGAAGCAGCAACATGCACACCATTACCACCATCTACACACACCCTGAAGCAGCAACATGCACACCATTACCACCATCTACACACACCCTGAAGCAGCAACATGCACACCATTACCACCATCTGCACACACCCTGAAGCAGCAACATGCACACCATTACCACCATCTACACACACCCTGAAGCAGCAACATGCACACCATTACCACCATCTACACACACCCTGAAGCAGCAACATGCACACCATTACCACCATCTGCACACACCCTGAAGCAGCAACATGCACACCATTACCACCATCTACACACACCCTGAAGCAGCAACATGCACACCATTACCACCCATCTACACACACCCTGAAGCAGCAACATGCACACCATTACCACCATCTGCATACACACCCTGAAGCAGCAACATGCACACCATTACCACCATCTACACACACACCCTGAAGCAGCAACATGCACACCATTACCACCATCTACACACACCCTGAAGCAGCAACATGCACACCATTACCACCATCTACACACACCCTGAAGCAGCAACATGCACACCATTACCACCATCTACACACACCCTGAAGCAGCAACATGCACACCATTACCACCATCTACACACACCACCCTGAAGCAGCAACATGCACACCATTACCACCATCTACACACACCCTGAAGCAGCAACATGCACACCATTACCACCATCTACACACACCCTGAAGCAGCAACATGCACACCATTAGAACCATCTACACACACCCTGAAGCAGCAACATGCACACCATTACCACCATCTACACACACCCTGAAGCAGCAACATGCACACCATTACCACCATCTGCACACACCCTGAAGCAGCAACATGCACACCATTACCCCCATCTACACACACCCTGAAGCAGCAACATGCACACCCATTACCACCATCTACACACACCCTGAAGCAGCAACATGCACACCATTACCACCATCTACACACACCCTGAAGCAGCAACATGCACACCATTACCACCATCTACACACACCCTGAAGCAGCAACATGCACACCATTACCACCATCTACACACACCCTGAAGCAGCAACATGCACACCATTACCACCATCTGCACACACCCTGAAGCAGCAACATGCACACCATTACCACCATCTACACACACCCTGAAGCAGCAACATGCACACCATTACTACCATCTACACACACCCTGAAGCAGCAACATGCACACCATTACCACCATCTACACACACCCTGAAGCAGCAACATGCACACCATTACCACCATCTACACACACCCTGAAGCAGCAACATGCACACCATTACCACCATCTACACACACCCTGAAGCAGCAACATGCACACCATTACCACCATCTGCACACACCCTGAAGCAGCAACATGCACACCATTAGCACCATCTACACACACCCTGAAGCAGCAACATGCACACCATTACCACCATCTACACACACCCTGAAGCAACAGGCACACCATTACCACCATCTACACACACCCTGAATTAGCAACATGCACACCATTACCACCATCTGCACACACACCCTGAAGCAGCAACATGCACACCATTACCACCATCTCTACACACACCCTGAAGCAGCAACATGCACACCATTACCACCATCTACACACACCCTGAAGCAGCAACATGCACACCATTACCACCATCTACACACACCCTGAAGCAGCAACATGCACACCATTACCACCATCTACACACACACCTGAATTAGCAGCACAGGCACCCATTACTACTGCCATTTGGCTTCCACCGTCTACACACACCTTGAAGCTAGCAACATGCACACCATTACCACCATCTGCACACACCCTGAAGCAGCAACATGCACACCATTACCACCATCTACACACACTCTGAAGCAGCAACATGCACACCCATTACCACCATCTACACACACCCCTGGATTAGCAACATGCACACCATTACCACCATCTACACACACCCTGAAGCAGCAACATGCACACCATTACCACCATCTACACACACCCTGAAGCAGCAACATGCACACCATTACCACCATCTACACACACCCTGAAGCAGCAACATGCACACCATTACCACCATCTACACACACCCTGAAGCAGCAACATGCACATCATTAGGCCCCATCTACACACACCCTGAAGCAGCAACATGCACACCATTACCACCATCTACACACACCCTGAATTAGCAACAGGCACACCATTACCACCATCTACACACACCCTGAATTAGCAACATGCACACCATTACCACCATCTGCACACACCCTGAAGCAGCAACATGCACATCATTAGCCCCATCTGCACACACCCTGAAGCAGCAACATGCACACCATTACCACCATCTACACACACCCTGAAGCAGCAACATGCACATCATTACCACCATCTACACACACCCTGAATTAGCAACAGGCACACCATTACCACCATCTACACACACACCTGAAGCAACAGGCACACCATTAGCACCATCTACACACACCCTGAATTAGCAACATGCACACCATTAGCACCATCTACACACACCCTGAAGCAGCAACATGCACACCATTAGCCCCATCTACACACACACCCTGAAGCAGCAACATGCACACCATTACACACCATCTACACACACACCTGAATTAGCAACAGGCAACAATTCATTACCACCATCTACACACACCCTGAATTAGCAACATGCACACCATTAGCACCATCTACACACACCCTGAAGCAGCGACATGCACACCATTACCACCATCTACACACACCCTGAAGCAGCAACATGCACACCATTACCACCATCTACACACACCCTGAAGCAGCAACAGGCACACCATTACCACCATCTACACACACCCTGAAGCAGCAACATGCACACCATTACCACCATCTGCACACACCCTGAAGCAGCAACATGCACACCATTACCACCATCTACACACACCCCTGAAGCAGCAACATGCACACCCATTACCACCATCTACACACACCCTGAAGCAGCAACATGCACACCATTACCACCATCTACACACACCCTGAAGCAGCAACATGCACACCATTACCACCATCTACACACACCCTGAAGCAGCAACATGCACACCATTACCACCATCTACACACACCCTGAAGCAGCAACATGCACACCATTACCACCATCTGCACACACCCTGAAGCAGCAACATGCACACCATTACCACCATCTACACACACCCTGAAGCAGCAACAGGCACACCATTACCACCATCTACACACACCCTGAAGCAGCAACATGCACACCATTACCACCATCTACACACACCCCTGAAGCAGCAACATGCACACCATTACCACCATCTACACACACCCTGAAGCAGCAACATGCACACCATTACCACCATCTGCACACACCCTGAAGCAGCAACATGCACACATCATTACCACCATCTACACACACCCTGAAGCAGCAACATGCACACCATTACCACCATCTACACACACACCCCTGAAGCAGCAACATGCACACCATTACCACCATCTACACACACCCTGAAGCAGCAACATGCACACCATTACCACCATCTACACACACCCTGAATTAGCAACATGCACACCATTACCACCATCTACACACACACCCTGAATTAGCAACATGCACACCATTACCACCATCTGCACACACCCTGAAGCAGCAACATGCACATCATTAGCACCATCTACACACACCCTGAAGCAGCAACATGCACACCATTACCACCATCTACACACACCCTGAAGCAGCAACATGCACATCATTAGCCACCATCTACACACACCCTGAATTAGCAACATGCACACCATTACCACCATCTGCACACCACCCTGAATTAGCAACAGGCACACCATTACCACCATCTACACACACCCTGGAATTAGCAACATGCACACCATTAGCACCATCTATCTACACACACCCTGAAGCAGCAACATGCACATCATTACCCCCATCTACACACACCCTGAAGCAGCACATGCACACCATTACCACCATCTACACACACACCCTGAAGCAAGCAGCACCATTACACCATCTACACACCATTAGCAACATGCACCATTAGCACCATCTACACACCCCTGAAGCAGCAACATGCACACCATTACCACCATCTACACACACCCTGAAGCAGCAACATGCACACCATTACCACCATCTACACACACCCTGGAAGCAGCAACATGCACACCATTAGCCCCCATCTACACACACCCTGAAGCAGCAACATGCACACCATTACCACCATCTACACACACCCTGAATTAGCAACATAGGCAATAACACCATTACCACCATCTACACACACCCTGAAGCAGCAACATGCACACCATTACCACCATCTACACACACCCTGAAGCAGCAACATGCACACCATTACCACCATCTACACACACCCTGAAGCAGCAACATGCACACCATTAGCACCATCTACACACACCCTGAAGCAGCAACATGCACACCATTAGCACCATCTACACACACCCTGAAGCAGCAACATGCACACCATTACCACCATCTACACACACCCTGAAGCAGCAACATGCACACCATTACCACCATCTACACACACCCTGAAGCAGCAACATGCACACCATTACCACCATCTACACACACCCTGAAGCAGCAACATGCACACCATTACCACCATCTACACACACCCTGAAGCAGCAACATGCACACCATTACCACCATCTACACACACCCTGAAGCAGCAACATGCACACCATTACCACCATCTACACACACCCTGAAGCAGCAACATGCACACCATTACCACCATCTACACACACCTCTGAAGCAGCAACATGCACACCATTACCACCATCTACACACACCCTGAAGCAGCAACATGCACACCATTACCACCATCTACACACACCCTGAAGCAGCAACATGCACACCATTACCACCATCTACACACACCCTGAAAGCAGCAACATGCACACCATTACCACCATCTAGCACATGCACACCATTACCACCATCTACACACACATGCCCTGAATTAGCAACATGCACACCATTACCACCATCTACACACACCCTGAAGCAGCAACATGCACACCATTACCACCATCTACACACACCCTGAAGCAGCAACATGCACACCATTACCACCATCTACACACACCCTGAAGCAGCAACATGCACACCATTACCACCATCTACACACACCCTGAAGCAGCAACATGCACACCATTACCACCATCTACACACACCCTGAAGCAGCAACATGCACACCATTAGCACCATCTACACACACCCTGAAGCAGGAATGACAAGTCTTTATGGATGATCAATTTCTTTATTGCACAATAGCGATGTTTCGATACTTACCGTAGATAAGCCAACCTCACAGATAAGCCAAACCCCTAACTTTACCCTTAAAATCAGTATCAAATTGGTATGTTTCATACATAAGCCGATCCCTGTGATGGGGGTCCTAATCACGGCCAATTCAGACCACAAGACAGTTACCGTCTTGGATGTAAAACATAGGTATGTTTGGTATACCGTTTTCAAGCTGTGATCATCCAACAAGACTTGTCATTCCTATTGGTGACAACTTCTAGAATGCCACTCAAACAGTTCAACCTGAAGCAATTTGTTTGCTTACAGCAGATGTATACTAGGTGTCAGGATTTATTCCTGTAGTCTACATGTACAGTCCGTTTAAGTCAGAAACGGACCGATGAATTGCAAATTTTATCATTGTACAAAATTGCCACATAAATATAAATAGTACACATGTTTATCATTTACTAATACCCAACAGCTTTCTTATATTTGAAAATTGTCCGAACTCCACCAAAAAGTTAGAAACTATCATCATTGAAAACGCAAAAGTTGTTATCTGTCGCGGCGGGGTGAAACCGCAGAAACGAAACAGCCACTATCTCGTCGTGCACGGGATACACATGCCTGATGAAAAATGAAGTTGAATGCTGACGTGAAACAGTTGATGATTAAAGTGTACGATTTTTTCCGTGCTGAAGCCGAAAGGGGCAAACCATTTTATGCCATTAATAAATTCCGTAAGCGGGCAGCAAAAGCTTTAGGAGTATCAGCAAGGGTACTGACAAATGTTCTGGAACACAAACATTGTGAGGGTGATGCAAAGCAGGTAGGGGTCGTGTCAAAATCACACAAATTAAAACATTTGGACAACTTTCAAAAGAACCTTGTAAGGCAGTCTATCAACAAGCTCTATTCTGAAAACAAATACATGTCGCTGAAAATTTTAAAAAAGCATTTGAAGCAAGAACACAACCTCAGAGTATCAAAGTACACACTCTTGCGACTCTTACACTCTTTCGTGTATTGTTATAAGAAAATTTCGGGGGAGAATAGGTCAGTACTCTGTGAATGCCCTGATATCCTTCGATTGAGAAATAATTTTATAAAGAAGAAGCGCGAGGAAGGGTTGGAGCCAGTGTACTTGGACGAGACCTGGGTCAATGCCTCGCACACTGCCAGCAGTCAGTGGGTACCCGATGGGGGTGATAAGGGGTCACATAGAAAGCTGCCTCTAGGGAAAGGAGAGAGACTAATCATTCTCTATGCTGGTTGCTCCAGCAAAGGCTTTCTCCCAGGTTGCGACCTGGTATTCAGGGCAAAGTCCACAGATAACAGAGACTACCATTCCGAGATGAATGGTGCGGTTTTCTTCGATTGGGTTAAAAACAAGTTGGTACCAGCTCTACCAGAGAAGTCTTTTATCGTAATGGACAATGCCCCATACCACAGCGTGCAGGACCCCAACAGTAAAGCCCCGACATCGAACAGTCGAAAAGGTGATATGATATCATGGCTCGACAAATTTCTGATCGCACGGCCTTCAAAGGCAACGAAGCCTCAGCTATATGAGATCATAAAACCCCACAAAGGTGAACCTTTCTACACAGTTGACAGTTACATAAAAAGTAAGGGTCACGATATTCTGCGACTTCCACCCTATCACTGTGACCTTAACCCCATTGAAATGATATGGGGTATTGTCAAAGGAGATGTTGCCAGATCAAACACAACTTTTAGATTACGTGACATAGTGGTTTTGGTTAAGGAATCCCTTAACAAAATCACGACTGAAACTTGGCAAAACTGTGTCAACAAGGTAGCTAACGTCATTGAACAAGGTTACTGGTCTCGGGATGGCTTACAACAGGCAACTGTGGCACCACCTGTCATCCCTTTAAGTCGTGACTATGACACTACGACGGACAAGGAACCGACAGGTCTCCCGGAATAGATTTTGAGATGTCCCCCGCCATGACTGGCTGTTCCGTTTCTGCGGTTTCACCCCGCCGCGACAGATAACAACTTTTGCGTTTTCAATGATGATAGTTTCTAACTTTTTGGTGGAGTTCGGACAATTTTCAAATATAAGAAAGCTGTTGGGTATTAGTAAATGATAAACATGTGTACTATTTATATTTATGTGGCAATTTTGTACAATGATAAAATTTGCAATTCATCGGTCCGTTTCTGACTCAAACGGACTGTAGTTAACACACATTCCCATACCTTTGCCACTTTGACGTAGTTGAGGCTGATCAGGCAGATAATGAGCTTCACTCGCAGATCAATCGGCAGGAGGTCAGGGGTAAAACAACTGCACAGAGAGAAAACAGTGACATCTTTTCTTACATCAAACATTTGAATTTAAGACTAAGCCTGGCTCAGACACAATAGTGTAATAACTAATTCAAAAACTGACATTGCAGGGGCAGATGCAGCTTTTGAGAAAACGGGGTGCACACTATTGAGGAAAGGGTTGGGGGTGGGGGTGAACACTTCATTTTCACCTAAGTTTCAATGATCATTGAACAAACTTTGAGGACAAAAGTGGGGGTGCGCACCCCTGCACACACACACACACACACGCACGCATGCACACGCACACACATGCACACACACACACCTCTGGATCTTCCTATGCTTTGTCAGGGTATCAGAATATATCAGCAACAAGATAAAATAGCATCTGAGAGGAAATTTCATGGATGCCAACTTCTACAATATGAGGAACACCACGTTACGAGTATATTGTTACTCCTTCATCAGGTGAATGAAAGCTTAGAAGCAGATAGTTATTTCTGTATAATATAAAATAACAAGAGAGACAACATCATAAAGTTGGACACTTAACAAGGAAGTGATCAACTGGTGCTAGCAATGGACAAGGGGAAGCCAGGCTTAAATCCAGTTGTAAGTATTTAACCATTCAAACAGACCACCAATAGTTTCCACAGGTGGGTAAATAACTTATGATGTTTATATTTTTTAACATCATAATTGACTTGACTCTCACCACAAGTTGGTGACTTAGTTTAAAGTCTTAGATTCTTAGCACTTTGGTAACACCCAGGTGTAAGTATTTAACCTAATCGTTTCCATGTAAACCAGGAAAAATAAAAATGCCAAAAATCTGCAAATAGCAAAAGGCACCACTTAAGGTTCTGTCTGACATATCCACCAAGTTTTGTTGAAAATGTTTGAACGGTTCTTGAGTTATGCTCCGGAAACGAAGCCCACCCCTCCCTTTTGGACTAAGTCAGAATCGTTTCCATGAAAACCAGGAAACAAATATATGCCAAAATTCTGCCAAATAGCAAAAGGCACCACTTTGGCATCTGCCTCACATATCTGCCAAGTTTTGCTGAAAGATATTAAGAAGTTTTCCAGTTGTGCTCCGGAAAACGAAACCCACCCTCCTGTTGGGACTAAGTCTGAATCTTTTCCATGGAAACCGGGAAAAATAAAAATGCCAAAAATCTGCAAATAGCAAAAGGCACCACTTAAGGATCTGTTTGATGTATCTACCAAGTTTTGCTGAAAAATATTGAACGGTTTTTGAGTTATGCTCCGGAAACGAAGCCCACCCCCCTTTAAGACTAAGTCCAAAACGTTTCCATGGAAACCGAGAAAATTAAAAATGACAAAAATCTGTAAATAGCAAAAGGCACCACCTTAGGTTCTGTTTGATATATCTACCAATTTTTGTTGAAAAATATTGAACATTTTTGAGTTATGCTCTGGAAACAAAATGATTACGGGCGGACGGACGGACGGACTATATCGTCGACTATATGAAGTTTATATTTTTTAATGTCATAATTGACATGACTCTCACCACAAGTTGGTGACTTAGTTTAAAGTCTTAGATTCTTAGCACTTTGGTAAAACCCACTAGTACTGATATGCCCCCCCATCCACATTCTTGCACAGTGATGTGGTGGGCTAAGACAAATGGGCCATGTGTGCTCCCTAAGCAAGTAGCTGCTGTCAAGAAGTGAAGGTTTACCTCAGTGGAGATTTAGCCTTGTCTTGAGGGTCAATAAGGGCCTCAGAGCTCTCAGAGTTCCACACAACAGTGTTGGGCATCAAGACCTCCACACCACAGTGATTCACCAACACCTACACACAACAGACAGTCATTACACCTGTAGAATGATGGCCTACAAATATGCATGACTGGCCCTGCAAAACCAGTGGACGATAACACCAGCATCAAACTACGAAGACAGGTTTACTACAATTTTAGCACTAATAACAATTACTGGGTGTCTATTCTGCTCCAGAATCCCCAAACATCTGAATATAAGACTGATGAAAGATTCCTTTTCTAATAATGTAAGGAGGGAGGAATATTTTTACTTTTTACTTTTTTTTAATAATCTATCACAGAAAAGTGCAACTGGAAGTAAGACACTATAGCTGGAAGTAAGTCACTTTAGACACAAGACAATTAAAAATGACATTAAAATAAATCTAAATCCAAATCTAACTTTGCATGCACAGGTACCAGTGATGTACAACATTTGATGAATTATATCAAACACATCTGGCTACAGATGCTTCAGTTTCAGGGTGTTAATATAAGTTGTTCACTGGTCTCAATGGAGACATGGGCTGATGTACACTCGATGTTTGTTTATGTTCCCTGAGCCCAAAGGGAACATAAAGAAACATCGAGGGTACATCAACCCATGGGCCCCGAGGGACCAGTGAACAACATATTTATCTTACCGAACACCTCAATGGTAATTTTGAAGCACGGGTATCGGATCATAGTATGGAGTACCAGATGATAAGACGACAAGAAAAACAAATTTAGAGTTATCTCCCTTCCATCGATTTGCATTCGCAAAACACCAGTAATTTCCGTACATCATACGTGATTAAATGTTATTCGAGAAAAAGAATTACTACTATGAAGTACCAAATGAGTTCTGCATTCCCAGCGGGGTACATAGAAAAGGTTACTCGCTTGTGAGCAGGTACATTGAAAATAATAGAAGAGCGCTCAGCCAATCAGAAAACGACATTTATGTGTGAGGCAAGATAAATGACAATGTAACTCTAGATGCTGAGGACCTACCTCTATTGATCCTACAAACATCTTCTCTGACATCTGAAGCTCCAGCAGAAGATTGACATCTGGAACCAAGGCAAGTCAGGATAGTTCGAATCTCATTGAAATCAGATATACAACTCAAGACAATTTAAGAACACCAACAACTGGAAGGCCATGTATTGCAATACCCACCAGCCATGACACATGAGCTGTAGACACATGATAACAATCAGCCTTGTTTAACTTCTTTAGAGTCGAAACATTAATTACTACAATACCTGTCTGAATTTCATACTGATATATGCAGAATTGACATTTCAACTATGGCTGGTTTAGAAGCCATGGTCCAAATCAGATCAGAATTCAGTGAGCAAAGTTTAGAGACACTATAGAGTATTTTGACATGCAACTTCACACAGATGTGACTTACCTTCTGAGGTTATGAGATTGGGGTGTTTATGGAGAGCATTCTTCATGGTGTGGATGGACTGCATGGTCTCTCCGATCTCATGGAAACTCTGGAAGAAACAGTCGCATACAAGCGTCAGAAGAAACGACCATATGCAAGAGAGAGAGAGAGAGAGTGAGAGTGAGAGTGAGAGTGAGAGTGAGAGTGAGAGTGAGTGAGTGAGTGAGTGAGTGAGTGAGGTTTTACGCAGCTTTTTAGCAATATTCCAGCGATATTGCGGCGGGGGACACCAGAAATGGGTTTCCCTGATCACTAAAATCCATATCTAAATTATATGACTTGAAAGGGCCATCTCTACCCTATACACAAAATACAGCTGATATACATTTTCTGAGCCAAGGAAGGAGGGTCAGTCAAACAAACTGTTTTCTTTCAACTTCTGTTCTGTCAGTCTGATCCAGAACTGAAAAATATCAACAAGTCCCCATGGGGATTATTGATTTCCCAGGACGTAAACCTGACAACAATCAGGACCCAATACCTTGGTGATGTTCCTGGCCAGTTGCAGATACTTCTCTCCATCATCGTCAGGGAGGAGTCTGAGGATGAGCTGGTATCCCTCCAGGGCCTTCTTGTGTTCCCCAAGCGATTCGTACAGGTGACTCCGCTGCCAGACGTATTCGAGTTGTCTGGGGCGTACCTGACAGCTGTAGACAGGAATGTACATGGGTTGATATCACAGATGGGTTTAACCTTTGTTCACATATCTGCTGATTTTGCCTCACTCTTATTACAAGAGAAAGTCTACTTAGATTCATATGGAAAGGGAGGTAACTTTTTCAACTGTCAATCCAAACAGCACATCACATCCTTTTTTTCAACAATGACTGACTGACTGACTGACTTCCGTTTTACTCTGCTTTAAAAACTTCATCGAACCTCACCTTTGTTGAAGCAGAGAACTGCCTGTTTGGAGTTGCTCTGCTCCAGAGAGAGTTCCGCCAGTCTCACCCATTCCTCACTGTCGTCAGGCCGCAGATGAGCAGCAATGAGGAAAAACTGAAAAGGTACATGTGTTACTACTGGAAATATTGTCAAAGCTGCATGTATTTCAATCAGAGCTACATGTGCTCTTATTAGAGCTACAAGTGTTACCGTCAGAGCTACAAGTGTTAATGTCAGAGCTACAGGTGGTACTGTCAGAGTTACATGTTACTGTCAGAGCTATGTGTGTTACTGTCAGAGCTGTGTATTACTATCTGAGCAACAGGTGTTACTGTAAGAGCTATGTGTTATTGTCAGAGCTAAATATATTATGTTACTGTGAAAGCTACATGTACTACAGTGTGGGGCACATGTGTAACTGTCGGAGCTACAAGTGTTACTGTCAGAGCTACAAGTGTTACTGTCAGAGCTACATGTGTTACTGTCAGAGCTACATGTGTAACTGTCAGAGCTACATGTGTTACTGTCAGAGCTACATGTGTTACTGTCAGAGCTACATGTGTAACTGTCAGAGCTACATGTGTTACTGTCAGAGCTACATGTGTTACTGTCAGAGCTACTTGTGTTACTGTCAGAGCTACATTTGTGATTGTCAAAGTTTTATGTTAGTCAGAGCTACATGTGTTACTGTCAGAGCTACATGTGTTACTGTCAGAGCTACATGTGTTACTGTCAGAGCTACATGTGTAACTGTCAGAGCTACATGTGTTACTGTCAGAGCTACATGTGGTACTGTCAGAGCTACTTGTGTTACTGTCAGAGCTACATTTGTGATTGTCAAAGTTTTATGTTAGTCAGAGCTACAAGTGTTACTGTCAGAGCTACATGTGTTACTGTCAGAGCTACATGTGTTACTGTCAGAGCTACTTGTGTTACTGTCAGAGCTACATGTGTTACTGTCAGAGCTACATGTGTAACTGTCAGAGCTACTAGTGTTACTGTCAGAGCTACATTTGTGATTGTCAAAGTGTTACTTTAGTCAGAGCTACATGTGTTACTGTCAGAGCTACTTGTGTTACTGTCAGAGCTACATTTGTGATTGTCAAAGTTTTATGTTACAGTCAGAGCTAAATGTTACTTTCAAGACATCATACAATGACCACTAGACTGAAACTTAATAATGTATCATAATGCTGTCCAACATGTCAAAGGATATGATTTAACTGATCATATTTTTCAGGTGAGATGTTTTGTTTAACTGAGCAGGTCTCCTCATAGGTTGGACACCTACCTGCATGGCTTTCTCGATCTGCTCCATCTCCTCATAGATCATGCCTAACGTCTGGAATGGGAGGTAGGCGTTCGGGGCTGAAGACAAAATAGAAGCTTGTTAACCACATCACATTAACAGTAGGTCATCATATTAACAGGCCAGTGTTGTAGCTTTGAGTTTAACTTATAGTGTTCTCCATCCACACCTGAGATATATAATACCATATAACTAATAATAAAAACGAACTACTCATTCTTGAAAAAGACTGTTTCTCATAGCCATGTCCAGGAGAAATATTCCCCAGCCAATCAGAATGCGGTAGTATGTTCTCAAAAATAGTTAGTTGATATAATCTTCATTCTCGGCTTGCATAATTTTTTCCCAGACAGTTCAAGCATATTTTAATTATTGCATAGTCCCTCCTGGGTTCTGAATTTTATGGACCAGGATATATTCACATTATGGTGTAGGAAAGTATAGCACAAACATACCCTTTGATGCCATTAAGTTCAGTAAAATAGCTTGGCTGACTAGACTTTTCTTTCTCTTCTCTCTCATGAGACAGAGTTAAGTTCAGTAAAATGGCTACGAGAGGGGTACAAGTCTACTTTCAGGTTACAGAATGGGACGAGTAGTTACAAATGTTATTAAAAATGAATAACATATATATGAATGAATGATCCACATGGGTGGAGAGATGATGCATTGGGTGAAATATTTTCTTCTTTCCTTGCAGACAATAACAGATACTTCACCACTTCTCACTGAATGGTGAGACAAGCAGTGAGTAAGTGACTGAGTTAGGTTTTACGTCCCTTTTAGCAATATTCCAGCAATATCACGGCAGGGGACACCACAAATGGGCTTCACACATTGTACCCATGTGGGGAATCAAACCCGGGTCTTCGGCGTGACGAGCGAATGCTGTAACCACTAGGTTACCCCACCGCCCCACGAGAGACAAGCAACTAGTATGAATTGGATGAGGAAGAATTAGAAACATGTACTTATTTTAAGGCCATTTACTGTTGACAAAGAAGGTTAGAAAACTCACAAGACACAAGAGCTTTTCAACGCAGGGTATAAGGACTCTCTAAGCCAGACTTAATATTATTACATCCTGTGATACTGCCTTCCCCCATAAACTATCAACTGTAGCAATCTATCGGCTCAAATGTTGTATGTATAGATACTTTTCCACATCATGAGAAGATTTTTTTTCACAGAACATACTGGCTGGTACAATTTCAAAATGGCTGACAACTATAAGACAGGAAAGGCTGATTTGATGTACGGACCCAATCGTATAATCTCCATGCACATCTTGATGGCTTCTTCCTTCTCCCCACGGGCAAACCTCAGATTGGCCTCTCCCATCAACCCCTGCAGATGTTTGGGCACCTCGTTCTTCCTCATCCTGCGAGTCTGAAACAGGAACACAACTTGTACTGGTAATTAAGATCTATTCACTAGGGGTTACTCCTAACCCAATCAAAATAGCTGAAATAATCCATTACTCCATTTGTAAACATTATACATCAGAAATACAACTATCATGGAAACTTTAGTGACCATAATAAATCCTTATATTCAGTGAGTTTAGTTTTACACACATCAGCAATATTCCAGCTATATGGCTGCAGTCTGTGAATAATCGAGACTGGACCAACCCCAGTGATTGACAGCATGAGCATCGATTCATGCATATCAACCGATGACATGTGTCAAATCCAAGCCAGCGAGCCTGACCACCCGATCCCATTAGTCGCCTCTTACGACAAGCATGGCTTACTGAAGGCGCATTCTAACCCGGACCTTCAAGGGTTCCTAATGTATGAAACACACACGGGGAATAATCTTTTTATTTTATAATGTATCCCAAAAAGGCATGCAGTAAAGTATGTAGGTTTCAGAAATGGCCTCAGAAAATATTCTTGCAAACTGTATTTCAAGAATGGATGACCAAACAATCGGAGTTCCAACCCTTGCTCATTTCTGTAACCTCGCGTGTATTCCTCACATACCCTCTTTTTCTTTTCTTTTTGCAAAGGTAGCTTCTTCTTCTTCTTCATTTTCTCCTTCTTTGTTGTTGGAGTGGAGCTTGCTGTAAGATGAGACTATCACTGAATATCCCTTTATCCACAAGACCACAAAGACGGGCATAACCCAGGAGAACATGTCTAAAATCATAGATCTACTTTCATAAAATCAGGTAAGTTAAGTATGGGTTCTTTTGTTACCCTTCAAAATTTGATTTAAACATGTTAACTACTATTAACATTGTCAACGGTCAAAAAATAATCTTCAGGTGAAGGTCCAAAACTTTATACCACGTTTTTCCAAAGAGATTTTTAATGACAAGAAATTGTTACATCACTGCGCCTTCAGACCTCTTAATGATTTCCCATGTTCTCTGCATATGCAGTGGAATCTGTCAAATCCAGACTCTTTGTAAACCGGTTTTCTCCACAATCTAGACTACTCTCTGAGTCCCGGCAAAATTGTTCTAAAATTTAACATTAAAGCCTGCTTCATAATCCGGACTCTCTCAATTACAGATTACGGACTAAAATAACAGTCCTGACAATCAACTTGGTACGAGAACTTTGTAACTAAGACGTAGCTGACTATAATAACAGTCTGTTGTATAAAAGTCTCTGTTACTTCTATTCCCAATAGTTAATTAATTCTATAAACACACATTATTTAATGTGATAAGATTAACTCAGTGTCAGTTTGAAGTGCTCCCCGTGACATGGACAGCCAATCGGTAGGCTTGCATGAACACTGCCGGATTCACTGTTTGGCTGGAGCAAGTACACAGACAGATGTGACGAACAACGCCAGAAGATATTATTGCTTATTGACAATGCTCCTTCCCATGGATCGAAATTCAACTTAAGCAACATTGAAGTGAAGTTACTGCCAGCAAACACAACATCTGTCTTGCTGCCAATACATCAAGGGATCATCTGTGCCTTCAAGTTCAAAGCTCGGTATAGAAATCATTGCTATCGAGGATTGAGGACAGTGAAGATGTCGGTGAACTGTGCAAGACTATGACTGTGTCGGATGCAATCAGTAACATTGCTTGGCATGAGATGACAGAAAAAATGAAATTTTTAGAGTAAAATTAATACTTTATACTTATCCTGACTCATGCTTATTGCTTGTCTTCTTCTTCTTGCGAACATAGTGGAACACCTGTATCTCCCAATTGAAGTTCCCTTCAATTAAAAAATCACTAATTAGTACTCACCACGAGTTACCTCCCTTTCACAAGCTCGGGAACGAGGGCGCCACCTGAACCCATGTGCCTCACTCTCTCCTTTAGTTTCGAGTCCGACACTTTATTTTTCCTCAAGAAATCCAAAGTGTTAAGTGGGAGGACGGAGGGTTTATTTTCATGAGTCAGGATAAGTATAAAATATTAATTTTACTCTAAAATTTCATATTTTTCCTTATCCTGACTCATGCTTATTGCTTGTATAATCCGGCCGAAAAGGAGGTGGGAATATATATACTTTGGATTTTAATTATTAGTGATTTGAACTGTGATGATTGTAATAACCTTATGGGAACTTCATAAAGGCACTGAACTGATGAATTCCTGCTGTATAACTTATCAGCTGCCATATAAAGGTTATTACAATTTATAGAATATGATAAAGTATATACAACATTAATGTAAGCTGAAGCTATTAATGTGATAATATAAACTTCTGTGAGTTTATAGTGGATACTTTTATAAACAAGTGTAGAAGTGAGCAAAGCTCACATACCCTCGCTCCCACTTTGGGACATGGAAATGACTGATATTGATATATATAATGTCACAAGGATCAGCAGCTCACAAGACTTTCTCTTTGACTCTACTAAACTTTATATAAATGTTAGATAATAGTTTTGGCATGTACTGATTACTTGTAATAATTTATGGAAACTAGATTTTTTGTGTTTTCCGTGGAAACCCTGACATGTAATTGAACTTGAGTGTCATGTTGCACACAATGGACGTAGATGAAGATTGCTATTTTTAGCACATGGCATATCTGTGGGTCATGATTAACTTGTGTATTAAGTTTGAGTGAACCTAGCATGTATAGTTGCGATGATATGCCGTGGTCAGGTCACCATCAAATACATTTTGCATGTACCTAGCATGAACCTAGCATGAACCTAGCATGTAAACTTTAAGAGATATGCTCTGGACAAAATAATCAAACATATTTGGCACTAAGTCATGTTTCCATGGAAACAGCAAAAAATACAATTCATATCTGGATGTAAACCCCAAAAGGCACATCTAGGGATCATGCTTGATATGTGTACCAAGTTTGATGAAGCTAGCATGTATAGTTTGGAAGATCTGCTCGGACAAGATGACATCCCTCATAGTCACAGCCTTCAAGTCGTGTTTCCATGGAAACAGCAAAAAACTAAATTCTGAAAAAACTTTAAAATAGCAAAGGCACATCAATGGGTAATGATTAACATGTGCGTGAAGTTTGGTGAACCTAGCATGTAAACTTTTAAGAGATATGCTCTGGACAAAGTTTCGAATGGACGGACGGATCGGACGGATTAGAATGAACGCTATATACCCCCGTTAGCCAGGCGGGGTATAATTAACCAAAGTATTAAGCTTAAGATATGCATATATTTAAGCTATAATAGTATAGTATTGTGCTTAAGATATAATTATAACTTAAGCTGTATAATAGTAACCAACTCCTTAGAGTTTGTTAACTAATACATTTATGCATATGACCATATGACTGAGCTTAAGGATTGATGAAACTTAAGCTGAACATATATATAGTAGCAAAACTCCTAGGAGTTGTAAGCTTATATATAGTATGATATAAACACCATAGTACTGCGCTTAAGATAATAAATTAAACTTAAGCAAAATATATAGATAGCATGTAGCTATTAGTACTGTTATCAGATAAGTATAAAATCTGTAAGATAGACTTATCTTCTCCGTGGAACTGTCAACTGTTGAGCGAGGACCATGGGACCGAAATGGTGGATACCTGAGACGTCCTCGGTGGTGATATCTCTCAGATAGTGGTTGGCAAACACCATATCGGATCTCCAGAAACATCCCTCCATTATGGTATTCAACGAGCAATTCCCATGTAGAGCGAGAGTTGAGGCTAGCGCTCTAATTTCGTGAGGATTAGAAGCTCTTGGAGGGTCGAGTCCTGCAGCCTTGTAGGCACGTAGTATGACAGTTCTGATCCAGATAGAGATCGTAGTACGTGAGACTTCCGTCTGCGTAGCTGTAGATATAGGGATAAATAATCTCTGCTCTGTTTGGATCGTTGGAGATATATTTTTAGTGCCCTCACTGGGCATAGTGATAGATCCATCGTATCATGCGGTCCAAGAATGGATGAGAGAGCTGGGACGTGAAATAATCTGTCTGGTTGACCTGGCAGTTGGTTTTTCGCTATAAAATCCCAGCGAAGTCCCAGATGAGCGATGTTATGAATATCATCAAAGCGTATTCTCTCGTAATCCAAAGCGTGAATCTCTGACATCCTGGCGGCCGTAGCTAACGCTAGCAGGAATAAGGTTTTGTGGGTCAGTGATTCAAACGATGTAGATAGCAATGGTTCATAAGCCTCACTAGTGAGGTATTGGAGAACTATATTTAGATCCCAGGCTGGAGCGTGAAACTTCCGTTTCTGATCCTCCAATCGAACGCTTTCGTAACAAAGCGGTAGTAACTCTGGTGTTTTGTTAACTTGACCCTCGTTAAGCATAGTTATGACAGAACTTATGGCTGCAAGATAAGTGGACAAGGTTGAACCTTTTAGATTCTTAGTTTGCCGTAGATAACATAAGAAATCTGCCACTTGAGGATGTGTAGCATATCTGGCTGTAAATCCTTTCTTAGCAGCGTAATTGACAAAACTGTGCCATTTGTCATCGCAAGTTACGAAGTTGAGTTACGTAGTGCAAAGCGTGACCGCTTTAGCCGCTCTGGCAGAATAACCTCTCTTATTCAGACATGCCTTGATACAATCCATACGTGAAGTTGGAATGCTTCTGGTGTTTCGTGCACTTGTTTGGTGTGCGGGATGTATCAATAGATTGGCGTTGTGGGAGCTGAAGAATTGGTTTTCCCATTACTTGAATGAGATCTGGAAACCAAGTTCTTGCTGGCCAGTAGGGCGCGACCAAGATCAGATGGAGGCTCTGCGTTTGACTGATTTTCTGTAAGACTTGTGGGATCAACGCTGGAGGCGGGAAAGCGTACGCGTTGAGTCTCTCCCACGATATGCTTAGAGCTTCCGTTGCCCATGCTAGTGGGTCTGGCACTGGCGACACGAATGTTGTCAGTTGCTTGTTGAATCGAGTGGCGAATAGGTCTATCAGTGGAGATCCTATTTCCATGATTATTTGATTGAATATATGTGTGGAGCATCCATTCTGTCGGCGACAGTTGGTGTGGCCGAGAGAGAGCGTCTGCTAATACATTCTTTGCTCCTGGAATGTGGCAAGCTCTGACGTGTAAGTTTAGATTGTCGATTAAATCGAACAGTCTGAAACATCGAGTCAGTAGGTTCTGTGACCTTGTTGAACCTTGTTTGTTTACATAAAACGCCACTGTTGAATTGTCTGTGTGAACCATCAACTGAGCGTTCTGTAGTATGTTGCTCCAGTGACTTATGGCGTTTATGACTGCTTGCATCTCTAGCAGATTTATGTGACATTTGCTCTCTTGATTTGCTCCATAGGCCTGACGCTGTCCTGCCAGCAAGGTGGGCTCCCCAACCTTGTAGTGACGCGGCCTAATGAGATGTGAGTTCGATTCCGGCTCTACTAAGGAGACGCGCTCGCGCAAACATTCAATCTCTTGGTCCACCAGAGTAGATGTGGTTTGACATAATCTGGTAGACTGAATGGTAGAGGGTCCTCGAGATGAGCATTGATGAGGACTTGTAACGGACGAATTGAAGCCTGCCTCTGACCGTCAAGTCTTGAGCTGATGTGAGTAGTCCCAATAGGCTCTGCCACTGTCGTAGTGGTAACGGAGAGAGTAGGGCTTGAGGAATAAGTTGTTGGATCTTGATCCATCTGTCCTCCGGGACTACAATACGATTCTGAGCTGTTAGAAATCATATACCTAGAAATTGCAGATCTTGCGTTGGTTCTAGGTCCGACTTGAGTAGATTTACTAACCATCCTAATTGTGTTAGTAGCTTGATTATAAATTTCAGCTGTAGTCTGAGACGCTGTGGATCTGGATCCACTTGTATACCGTCGTCTAGGTAAAAAGCGCTGCGAAGACCTTGACGATGTAGATATGAGACAATAGGCTTGGTCACTCTTGTGAATACCCAAGGGGCGATGTGATTCGAAGGAAGAACCTTCCATTGGTAATGTTTCCCGTCTAGGATAAATCTTACATATTTCCTTGAGTTGGGATGAATCGGAATGTGTAGATATGCGCCTTGCAAATCTATGCTGGCCATGTAATCTTTGGGACGAATTAAATGCCGAAGTTGCAGTAAGTGTATCATGCGCGGCGTTGGAGGCTTGCATAGATATTCTCTGTTGAAGATGCTCATGTTGTATATGAGACCTAAACTTCTCCTTGGAATTTTTCTTCGCACTAGGAAAACTGGGGAGTAGAAACATGGTACGCGATGTTTCGTTGATCCAGAACTTCTAAGGCCTGTTTGTTTAGTAGAGTAAGTACTGTTTCTCTTAACATAGGTAGTTGTGCGGATGAACGCTTGAACCCTGGGGGTTGACTGTTAACGGAGGCTTGGCCTTGAGTTGTATTAGATATCCGTGCTGTAGGATGTTGGATACATATGGATCTTGTAGTATTCCCCAGTTTTCCCAGTGTAGCTGAAGGCGTCCACCCACTTGAGACGGTTGTACTGGAACGGCTGGGGTGGAAGACTCCAGTCGTTCGAACCTGAATTTCATCGCCTAAATCCATGGGCACCTCTGGATGATCTGCCTCTAGCTGATCCTCCCTAAATTTGTTGTATGGGCTTAATTTAAAAGAATCCTTGGGATCTTTAGCTGCAGCTAATTTCTTGTCCCGTGCTTTCTGTAGCCCTCAAAAACTTAGACTTGCCTGAGTATCTCTGTGTTGACTGTTTAATGACGCTTAAGCTAAGGTATCCATGGATCTGATCATAAGAACCTCTCTTGAGTCTTTAGATACTTCTTTGGAGACCTTGTCTATGTTGCCACCAAACAGTAAGGGCGATGACCATGGAGCTGTGTATAGAGATTCTGTAAATTGCTTATCCCAAGAGCAGGAGGCTAGTAAGCCTTGCCGACGAGCCATGGTAGTAGTTTCAGTAAGCGCTGATAGGTGCTCTGTAAGAAATTGGTGGTCTCTTTTCTGCATGAGTAGAGCTGAGTAGATCATTCTATCTTCCTCCTCTGTAGAATTCTTGAACTTGGTGATGAGAGTTTCATTAATCGTTCTAGATCTATTCAATCCAAAGAACATCCTCCTGGCGATGGTATCTAGTTGAGCGAATTTGCAATCGTCTACTTTGTAACTTCTGGACTTGGCATCGCTAATCAATTTATCCTGGGCCTTGAAAAAGGGGTCCATATTGTGTCCAGCAAATTTCTTGGCATTGAAGACCGGGAAATGTGTAGATTGTACTTTTAAAGATTTGGAACAGGCTGTATCCAAATTAGCTGGTACCGCTGCAATCGGATCAATAGGAGGTAAGGTGATATTGTCTACATCATCATCCTTCATCAGGTAAGTCTGAGTTGAATTCGCGGAGGCGGCCTGGGACTTCCTTAGCGAAGTGATCGCTACGGGCTGGCTTGCCCCTCGGCTAACGCTGGGGACTCGCTGGAGGCGCTTGTGGGCTCTGGGGCCCTACGCGAAGCCAAGGCGGGCTCTGGGGCCCCGTGGCTCTGGGGCCTCTGTAAACCGTAACGGTCCTCCATCAGTCTCATGATTTGGTTAACCAGGTCGTCTGGGACGGTCTGCGCTGGCGTTGAGGGTGGCCTCTCTGTGAAAGTGACGGGACCCTCAATCGTAAACTCAGGCGTCAGCGTAGGCATCTCTGGTTGCGTGTTTATCTGCGCTGTTGTGACGGTAGCAGATACTGGACGTTTCTTATGACATACATCTGGAATGATAATCGGAATGTCATCATCATATAAACATAATTCTGAGACAGGTAGAATATCGGAGGCAAAATTATTTATAGTTTTCGTAGATTTCCCTTTTGACGAAGCTGTGGACCTGGGGGTTCGAAGCGTACGTTGAGATGATGTGGACGCTTTCCTAGTCTTAGACTCAGAAGACGGAATGTCTTGAGACGCAGGTCGCTTCTTGACATAGCGGTCTGCGCCCCACGCTTATCCCCCGAGGGAAACTCCGGCATGCCACCAGCCGGTGGCGGGTCGTCAGTCAACAGTTGACAGGGTATAATAGCTTCCGATCTATTAGCCATGACTGAAAATTGTTTGCGAGATTTATCTGCCTTCCGTCTCAAAACGGAACATAAATATTTATCAAAGGCAGCAATTGGTAAATTAATACATAATTTACAACGAGAAACAATAGAACATGGAATAATGCAACTAGGGCATTTTAAATGTGGATCGGTAGCGGAGTAACGTAGTTTACAACCTGTGCAGATTCTCATGAACGTTAACTGCTGAACAAACACGGCGAACCGTGAATAAAACAGCAGAAACACGACTAATAATCAATGCAAGTTGAATAAGGATACTAGTTACACCTCTATAACTGAATATAAGAGGTACTAAACTAAATATAAATAAAGGATATAGTGTGTTGGGAGACACAGGCGCTCTCACGTCCAGCTCACTGGGCGAAGGAGAGAGTGAGGCACATGGGTTCAGGTGGCGCCCTCGTTCCCGCGCTTGTGAAAGGGAGGTAACTCGTGGTGAGTACTAATTAGTGATTTTTTAATTGAAGGGAACTTCAATTGGGAGATACACGTGTTCCACTATGTTCGCAAGAAGAAGAAGACAAGCAATAAGCATGAGTCAGGATAAGGAAAAATTTAATAAATTCTTAAGTGCTTTCAGAAATGTGGATTTGCTACTGCCCAAGAAACTGAAGATGACAATGAAGATGATGATCTACTGTTAGTAAAGTTGATCTCTGCAATCATGCATGGCAGTGTCTACGGTAACAGACAAAAGTTGTCTAATCCGGACTGCTTTATAATCCGGACAAATGAGTCGGTCCGAGGCCAGTCCGTAATAGACAGATTCTACTGTATATAGTTGTTTTTTTGTAAATTTTTGGGCTGGCAGGTCTAAAAAGCAAGTTATTCCAAAATAGAATAATGAACATGCCAAGGGCCATGTTGTTCAGGTAGCTTTATCCCTAGTATTTGAAGCTCCTGACACTTACCCTCGGAGAAGTGATCAGATGCTGAAGGCACCCAATCTTTATCATTGGCATCATCTTCATACATAATTTCCTCATCACTCCCCACTGCTTCTTCTTCCTCCTCCTCCTCCTCCTCTTCTTCTTCCCCCAAAGGCTCCTTCTTTACTACAACCTTGGACGGGTCGTATGAAACTCCTGTCATCTCGATATCATCATCTTCCTCAACAGCTTCTTGTTGTCGATTTTCCATCTTGTTGCTGAATTCTTCAAATGTGATCTTACCTAGAAGGGTAGAAGCACCGATTATCATATCAGGGGTTTACCTGGTCTGTCCTAGAGACTATTTTGAAGGGTTATTGGAATTTGGAGAAGTCAAATGTATAATCCATTTTGTATTTACATGAAAAGGATTAGATATAAGGTACATCTTCAATCGACCATTAATGTATTGCAAAATTGATTTACATGTATGCTTACATATCAAATTAAAATTGTAGAAGTAATTTTACTTATATACTTACATTTAGTCATTTACATTCAATGTATTAAATATGTCAAATGCTGGAAAGTATTGGTGCATAAACGTTCTACTCTATGTTAAACCCTACAGAGTGAGGTACTAGGTCCTATGTCAGATCAGTGACATAGTGTTATATGCATTACAAATTAAGCATGAATTAGGTCTAACATGTCTACAACAAATCTTGATCTTCACCACATGTGCTTAAAACAAACATGTGTACCAGTGATATACTGAACAGTGAGTTCAGATTCCGCTGCTGAAAAGAGATCCATCCACTCCTTGCCAGCCATCTTTGATGGGGATTCGAGCAGCTCACATGATGAAGTCCCTGGCTGGGGTTCTGACATGATAACGTCATCTTCTGACTCTTCTACCAAACCACCAGTCTGACAGAACCAAACCACTTCCATATTTAAATGTATCATTAATTTGACATTAAATTTGTCATTATTAGCATTAGTCATACATCATGTACATACTTTGGGGTTAGCTCTTCACAAGCCTAGTTATACTTATAGATTTGCTCTATAAGGTAACCAGACAAATTCCCCCCCAAAAGTTCATCGTTCCCCATGGACAAATCCCCCAAAGGAAACACAGTCAAGAGTTTAAGATATCCATTTATTAATCTGTCTATATTTTAACATTTAACAAGGTCAAGGAGCACATCATTCATTGCACATTTATTTTTATTTGACATATCTATACAATGCCAATGAGGATAGATTTATTCATTTGTCATTTATGCTCATCAAAACATGATACTAAGCATTAAAGGATTGAGAACCTTTAATCTAAAGCAAAAGATGAGTAGGGGGGATTTTGTCCATTTTTATGTTAAGGATGGGGGAAAAAATAATGTTGGGAGGTGAGGGGTGGGGGGGATTTGTCCTGGATTCGCTCTATAACAAGGGGTGTGGCATCATACACACATTTTACACATTGTAAATTCTTGAATGATGGCTTATGTTCAGGATAGTGTTATGTTTTATAACTTTTATGACATGTCTGTTAAAACACTTAATATGCTGATATATTTGGAGATAACTATGAAGTGAACAGCACAATCCGTATCCCCAGTGATCAGAAAGCTGCTATTAAATATTGCATAAGGCAATATATGGTAACCACAGTTATATCTTGATCATACAAACTTATTTCTTGTCAGAAACGTTGATTACATGTTATATATCACACATTTGAGTATATATACTGGCAGTTTCAAAGGAACATCATAGTGAAAAATAGTCAAGCCACATTGACAACTTGCCTATCTCAAAGACATATGACCTATGGTATTTTAAAAATGGAGGACTGGTTTTTAGTAAGTCGCCTGTCATAGCAAATGTGACTAAAGTAAGTAAGTACATGGCCATCCATGTTTCGACAAATTCATATGATCTTCACACTGTTTCATAAACACTCAAAATATTCAAAACAAAACAACACTAGTAAAACATTTGTCTGCAAAACTGTACTCGGATATTGGGATGTTTCTTGAATGACATATTATCTCTTTATAAATATGCACAGGCTACAAACTTTCGATTTCATTTCCTTCCATTTCTGATATTGTGAATATGATATTTCCCCTTGCAAATAGCGAAATAATTCAGCTTGCTCCTTCTCTTTCCCGCCAGCAGGTGCTTCTTCAGCCATGATTGTAAACACTCTAAGGGATGTAACTCATTTGAATTTCTTCCAGTCAACCACACACAATATTTACAATTGAAACGTCCATAAAATCATTCCAATACTGCAGTGGTCTACATTTAATCCCTGAATAAACGACCATATTAGTATTACCACTGTGAGATAAGGTTTAGTTAAACGAACTGGGTACTTGTATGACAATGGTTCCGACATAAATACAGACTGTCTTTTACGGTGGCGCAGGCGACTGTCATGTAAAAACTGTCTATGAATAATATTTGCAAAACCCTTACCAAGCGTTTTACATACACAGGATCTCCTTTTAGTGAAATGTATGGCTTCGGAGCATTGCTGAATTAAATGATAATCGTGCTAGTTTAATCCACTGAAATCATAAGATCTATGAAAATGACTCGCTGACACGACTTATACATGTGTCCTATCCGAACTGTGTTGGTCGTTGCTCATGATATCAATCACTGGATTGTCTTGAAGACTTTATTGTTTACAGGCTGTCGTCCTAAGCTAGAATATTGCTGAATGCCCGTCAAACTACAAACAAACAACGTATAACATTCACCCGACGGACGGGACCACTATACCTTTCCAGGGAATACAGTACAACCCATTGCATGCAGCTCAGTTCTAATTGTCTCCTTACAGACAGCCACAGTTCCTCTATCAATCATATCCAGCCTTAAGTTTTCTAAACTCCTTCCAAGCCGCCTCCTGTCACCGACTGACAATTTTTCTGGGCCTACCTGCGCCTCCCTGGTGCTCAATGCCATATCCATTTGCACGATAAACAGTGGGCAAAGGGATGCCTGTTCTACTTGAAATCACTTTAGCTGATCTGATGTCCTTGTTATAATACTCTAAAATCAACCTCCTCTTCTCTAAATCATCCATACTGAGGATCACTGAAAATGTCGTCTGCTAGCAAGTAAACAAAGGGGGATAACTCTTCACAAACTAATGAAAAAGGATTAACGGAGTTGTCTCTCTTGAATGAAACCAAGCACTTGATGAAGGACCAAGCTGGTCAAGGTTGTTTATACTAGAAATCCAATTAAACATATTCCTAAAATTCTCAATAATTTCTGGTCATACTATATATAGATGCGATTATTGTAGGGATGCAGAATATAAGCGATGCTAGACCGCTATATTGTCCTGGACATTTCTAGCGTATGTAGTATGCTCTGTGTCAGCCTGTTACCATAGCAATGACACGTTTATGCTCTATATTAATAATATCTACGTGTGAATTAACTATATTGATTACCATGATAAACATACAGCGTATTATGCCACCAGGTATTTTTAGCTTGCTGCTGCGTCATATTCGATCAAAACGGTTTACTTACTAGACCATTAACGTAATATTCTGTATACATAGGATATAACATGAGTGCCCATGTCGTACCCGCCGTCGTAGAACGCAACGTCATAGAAGAAACATGACGTCATAGCATTGTTCATGACGTCACGTCACCATGACCAAGTGATATTTTGCCCTAGGGCATCGTATGAAAAATATGAACCCCGATATTTTCGCCCTCGTAGGTAATAAATTAAAATAATTCACCGCCTTAGGTTTGCCATCGAGCTTGTTCAGGTAGACTATTAGCCCTGTGGTATATTGGGATTATTGCACACACTATTATTGTCGTGACGTCAATGGCCACTTTCGACACATCTATGTGTACACAGTGACGTCATACTATTGACCCCATATATGGCAATGTAACAAAACGCTGTCCTCGTCAAAACTAACGTACACTGTTTGGGGCACCTTGGCCCCATTTCACCAAATGATCGTAGAGCTAGGTGATCGTAACTCCCATACCTTGACATAGACTTATGACAGTCGACACGCTACGATCGCTTTGTGAAACAGGCACTTGGTGTTCGAAACAGGAATTATAACCCTCTGAGTGACGTCAAAGCATTAATTGTTTTGCCATTGTCTTATTATCTCATAAAATCCACAACATGTGGGGCCCTATATTATATACCACTTACAAGTTATAGAAGTTATAAAACACAAGCTGTTTGCATGGATGTAGTTTGTCACATGACTGGTACCCATTGCAACACTGTAAACGGTGGTTGTTGGTGTGTTGTTAAACGCCGCACTCAGCAATACTCCAGCTATATGGCGACAGTCGGTAAATAATCGAGTCTGGACCAGACAATCCAGTGATCCACAGCATGGGCATCGATCTACGCAACTGGGATACGATAACATGAGTCAACCAAGTCAGCGAACCTATAACCACTCGATCCCGTTAGTCGCCTCTTACAAGCATGGGTTACTGAAGAGCAGTTCTAACCCGGATCACGGGTCCTGTAAACGGTAGCCGTATTATGAGAGGGATATACGCCAGGGTAGAGGGTAAGCGTTTTAAAACCTATCGCGGAACTTACTTTCAATTGTAGCTGGAATATTGTTCCGTTCGGCTCATTGGGGTGTACACCGTTAAGCAACAAAGGTATCTCTGTGAAGGTACTACGCTGAGTTACCTAAACTGCATTATTATCAACTGGTTTGGGATTCGAATCTAGCATCAGTCAGCATTGATGGTTTCACAAAGGTTATATACGTACCCACGTCAACTCGGACTTTCTTCCCTTTCAGTGAGTGAGTTTAGTTTTACGCCGCACTCAGCTGTATGACGGCGTTCAGTAAATAATCGAGTCTGAACCAGACAATCCGGTGATCAACATCACTAGCATCGATCTATACGCAATTGGGATACGATGACATGTGTCAACCAAATCAGCGATTCTGACCATCCGATCCAGTTATTCGCCTCTTACGACAAGCATGGGTTACTGAAGATCAATTCTAACTCGGATCTTCACTGGTCACTTCCCTTAGATAGGACTGAAACATTAAGAAGTGATTCAATTATCTTCGGTTACTGTACCCCGCTCCTTATTTGTACTGAACAGATTGTGACACAAAGAAATGCGTTTCTTGTTTAACAATACACTTTGCAATATTCTGCCACAAACTTCTTGCCTCTGTGATTGGCGCCGGCATCTGATTAATCGATCCCGCAACAGGCAATCCAGGGATTGATATTATGAGCAACATACACGCAATAATAGTAGGAGACCAGACAACCAACGAAGTCACCAAGCCTGATCATAGACTGCTGACAACCTGTTCAAGTCCGGAATCCCTTGAGGATCTATCCATTGAAAGGGGACAAGAAACTGAACACAAAGTGTTCATGAGTGAGTTTGACTTAATGTTGCATGAGACCCGTGAAGATCCGGGTTAGAATTAATCTTCAGTAACCCACGCTTGTCGTAAGAAGCGACTAAAGGGATCGGGTGGTCAGGCTCGCTGACGTGGATGACACATGTCATCGGTTCCCAATTGCGTAGATCTATGCTCATGCTGTTGATCACTGGATTGTCTGGTCCAGGCTCGATTAATTACAGACCACCGCTATTTGTAGCTGTAATATTCCTGAGTGAGGCGTTAAACAACAAACCAGCCAACCAACCTAATGCCGCATGGAATAGTATTTCAGTAACATCACAGTCCCGGAGAGATGCAGATATTAGGCAACTGACACTTCCATGAAACGTACTGACGAACATTGACATAGTGCTGACAACCTAGACACACAATCAGGGATTCCAACCAGGACTATTGACGTCATACAGCGAATTGCCAGGCCAATGGGTCACCAATAGAACCCGAACAAATGAAAAAAGAACAAAAGAGTTTACAATGCTGGCTGAGTATGGTTTTACGCCGTTTTTAGCAATATTCCAGCAATATCACGGCGGGAGACACCAGAAATGGGCTTCACAAGTTGTACCAATGTGGGGAATCGAACCCGGGCCTTCGGCGTGACGAGCGAACGCTTTAACCACTGGGCTACCCCACAGCCCCAGTTTACGAGTTTAGTATTAGTCCAGGGCCCTTATTCTCGAAACGTTCGTAGCCTTAAGAATTCTTAACTTTGATCGTAGCCAATGTGTTAGGAATGGGCTTAAGAAGTTCGTAGGGCTTAAGAAGTTTCAAGAATAGCTAGCCTGCATGGATATTATATTACTTCATTAACCGATGAGCACAATCCTCCCCTGTTGCACCAAAGTATACTTGAAGGTACAGGGAACTCACTCACGTGGCCACCAGTTCTTGACTTACAATCTGCATCAACATATATATTCAGCTCCAGTGTTTTACGTGAATGTACGTAGGCTTATTCCATAAAAATAATGCAAAACAAGCAAGTTGCTTACAGCCTCCTGAATAATTAGACTACCATCTGTTGCAAACTTCACATGAATATACAGCTAAATGTGTAACATGGGAAATCAGTTATGTGAATACAACACTGACTGACTGACTGAGTTTAGTTTTACGCCGCTTTTAGCAATATTCCAGCAATATCACGGCGGGGGACACCAGAAATGGGCTGTGAATACAACAGATCAAATGTAGTTTAACACTGGTCAGCAATATTCCATCTCCATCACATCTCTGAACCAAGTGATTGAGAGAGTGAATATGGTTTTATGCTGCTTTTATCAATATTCCAGCAACATCACCGTGGAGGACACCACAAATGGGCTTCACACATTGTACCCATGTGGGGAATCGTCTTCGGCGTGACGAGCGAACGCTTTAACCACTAGGCTACCCCACCGCCCCACACTGAACCAAGGATACCAGACATGGTAAATGAAAGACTGCAGGGAAGATAATGCCAGCCATCCACAGAGCATGTTTACCCAGCCCCGAAAGAGGTGGCTAACAGGACCGGATGGTCAGACTCGCTGACTTGGTTGACACATGTCATCATATCGGAATTGCGCAGATCCATTCTCATGCTGTTGATCACCGAATTGTCTGGTCCAGGCTCGATTACTTACAGACCGCCGCCATATAAACTCTTCAAAAGAAAACAAAAAAGAAAAGAAAAAAGAAAAGAAAAGAAAACGCACAAGCCAAAAACAAGGAATTGTATTACCCTTGCAGCCGTCACTGCTCGACACCGCCTTGGAAGGGATTGCACAAGTTGTCGGATTTTTGCTAAGGGCATTCTTCACCATTCCACCTGCAACGCGTTGGCAAGTTCTGCAAGTGTCTGAGGACGAATCTGAAGTTTACGGGAACGTCGATCAAGTTCGTCACATAGATGCTCGATTGCATTGGTGTGCGTGCGTGCGTGCGTGCGCGTGTGTTCGACAATTCTCTCTCCCCCCCCCCCCCTTTGAAATTGACTAAAGACCAGATTGAAGTTAATGTTTTGCATTGGCAGAGCCGGGAAAGGGGAGGGGGGAGGAGTATGTGTGTGTGCGTGTGCGCACACGCTGGTTCAGGGCCTCTCCCCTTTGAAATTTCCCGGATCCGCCTATGGATCGGGTTCAGATCAGGCGATTTGGGAGTGGGAGGAGGTGAGGGCGCAGGATTTGGTCGATGTAGCGATTTGCTGTAAGTTTGCCTTGAAAACCACCACTAGCTCTGATCTACCAGTGTAGGACATGGTCCCCCCACACCATGACGCTTCTCCACCAAATATGTCCACCTGTCGGACACAGTTCGGAGCAAAACGTTCGTGTCGACGTCGATAGACACGTTGTCTCCCATCCCGTCATTGCAGTGGGAAATGCGATTCATCGCTGAACCAAACGCATCGCTAGTTCCCCAGGTCCCATGCCTGTACCCTTTAGCACCATTGGACACGTCGTTGTCGGGCGTGTCATGACAGGTCCAAATTTTGGTCAATATGCTCGAATTCCCACTTATCTCAGACGATTTTTTATGTTTTGCTCGGAAATTGTCTTGCAGTGTCCGTTGCTGTAGCAGATCAGTGATGTAGGTAAAACACACATCCTCGGTCCTGAGCAGTAAAGGTCACTCTTGGTCTTCCACTTCTGGGATGATCTTGATTCGAATTGACTGACTGACTGACTGACTGAGTTTAGTTTTACGCCGCTTTTAGCAATATTCCAGCAATATCACGGCGGGGGACACCAGAAATGGGCTTAACACATTGTGCCCATGTGGGGAATCGAACCCGGGCCTTCGGCGTGACGAGCCGAATCAACGCTTTAACCACTAGGCTACCCCACCGCCCCGATTCGAATTGAAGCGGGTATAGCAATGCCAGATATGGTGCTGTGGTGGACGTTGAAGAGTCCAAACGTCCAATGGCGATATTTTGTTCAGTAGCATTCAATCTTTGCCATTTTTTATTGTCGTTTACGTCGTACATTTTGTAACGAAATGATGAATTTGGTTTGGCCTTTTATACTTGATGTTCCACTCATGTTTCCGACACATTGCACGTGCATTAGGTGGAAAACTTCTTCTGCATGCACTTTCCATTTGCCGTTTTCATTTTTTATGACAAACGTTTATAAACACATTTTGGGATGCGTTTGTACGCAATACACAACAACCACGATATGCTTAATTTAAACATTGTCTTAATGACGATTGCTGTCAAAATATATCGAAATGAACTGCTGAAAACACATGTGCGTTTCTTTATTTGAAGAGTGTAGCTAGAATACTGCTGAGTGCAGTCTTATACAGAGAGCGAGTGAGTTGGCTTTTACACTGCTTTTAGCAATATTCCAGCAATATCACAGCGGGGACACCACAAATTGACTTCACACATTGTACCCATGTGGGTAATGGAACCCGAGTCTTTGGTGTCACAAGCAAACACTTTAACCACTAGGCTACCCAACCTTCCCTGCAGTGTTACACACCCTTTGGGTGTGGTCAACAATGAATGCTACCCCCAGGCTTCCCAATACAGTAAAGTGGGGTAGCCTAATGGTTAAAGCATCTGCATGTCATGTTGAAGTCCCAGGTTTGATTCCCTACATGGGTACAACGTGTGAAGTCCATTTCTGGTTCCCCTTGATATTGCTGGGTAAACAGCGTGGTAAAACTATACTCATCATCACCATCACTGTGCACCCAGTTTGGCAGGGCAGGCATTATCTCCATACTGTGTCTGAGTGGGGCATTCATGTTAAACTGCCTTATGGTATACCTCTAGGTATTTGTAAAGACTAGCATATGCAGAAACACAGAAAACCACTAATATAACCCATGTCACCTCATTAATTTTCTGTTAACATAGGGATTCCTAGTGGTAATGCCAACAGAAGTGTGATTTTCAGTCACACATTGGTTTCACTGTATCAACATCCAAGTTCCACCAATTTCATCAGCTGCTTATTGTCATATGTATATAGTACTTGAAAGGCACTTAGAAGTTGGACGAACATGAATACATGACATGTTTTTATGGATACCAACTTCTTCTTATTCTCTTTAGGACATTTCAGATCTAATTCTTGCTGCTGCATCAGGTGAATGGTGTCAGTGATTGATGTCACTTATTGCCTCATCTCCATGTTGATGGAGCAAGAATCACCTGATGAAGGAGCAAGAATAAGCTCTAAAACATTGTATAAAGAATAAAAAGAAGTTTTATATTAATATGTATAAGGTTCATAATAATATAGACGCCTACCATCACCAATCCCTGAACATTTCATCTCCAGGGACAGCTTCAAAAATAGGTGTCAAACATGAACAAAAAGGAATTTCCCTTTTATTTTTTAAGAATAAGAAATAATCACAAAAAGCATGAATGACTATTAATACTTGTATTCTGAGATGCCTAATTCTTAAATGCAGACACTGTATACAATTCAAATCAATTAGAAAATAGAGTATAAAATGACAAAAAATTCTCTGACAAATCAACCTGAAATGTTTATAAAAAAGGAAAACATATTTCCACCCAATCATCATACCTACATCAGTGTGAAGAGTGAGTGAGTGAGTTAAAATTTAAAGTCACATTGACAGCATAGGTGGATCCAGGTTCGTTGAACCCCTGAACACCCACATGCACACTCACGCACGCACGCACGCACATCCGCCAATGGGCAGTATTTCAGCCATATTGTGACTATGAGAGATATAATTCAGGGTAAAGGGAACAAGGAACAGCAAGAACCTTTCCTCACCCAGGAATAAGTCAAGGGATTGCAGAATATCAAAAATGATGGTAAAGCACAAGTACAATATTTAAGATAGATTTTGTAGATTACACACTACCAGGCCTTGTGTACATGGGTTTAGTTGCTTAAATATTAAGACCCAATATATTTATCAAAACACAGCCACAAATTAACACAATAGTTTCCTGAAAACCCATCATAATGGTGAAATATTAATCAATGACGAAGGTTGCACAGGGCCAATCCCACCTTCAGAGCAAGTTTGTTTGCAGAATGTGTCTCCATCACCTATAAATACATACAAAGTCTAGCCAATATAGATAACAGCTGAGCTGAGCTGAAATTGGGTTTAACGTCGTGCTTGAGAATATTTTGCTCATATGACGACGTGCATGCGTGTGTATGTGTATGTGCGGCTGTTTGTACTAGCCCAGACTGATGCAGGTTTTATAGTGCTAGACCACTGAGATACCATGCCGCAGTGAAGCATGAATACCCCACTCAGACACATTATACTGACTCCGAGCCGACCAGTCCTTGTTGTACCCATTAATGCTGAGCGCCAGACAGGGACCAACAAGTACCATATTTTAACGTCTTTTGGTATGACACGGTCGGGGATCGAACCCGCGACCTTCCACTCTCCGGGGCGGACGCTCTAACCACTACACCATGGAGGAGGTCCAATATAGATAACAACCCACTAATGATCACTTTGGTGGTCACTTTGTACATATATTTTAGGGGGGGAAGTAGTGGTGCTCGATGATCGAAAATAATCAAAAATCGATCAAAAGAAGGATTAACAAGAAAAAATTGTGTCCAGGGACACGGATGCCCCCACTGACATTCATAAGACATATAAAGATCAATAATTGAACAAAATTCACGAACAAGTTCAATAAACATCTATGCAACTATGAGATGCACAAATTTCAAATCCCAATGACACACACGTAGAAGCTCAATCAATATTGTTGAGCAGCTTTTGTGGAGAAGTGGATAGACTTCATCCCCTTTGACACTATATTCAGAGAGAAATTCAACAAAACTTATGTAAGTTCAAACGGCATTAAAATTGGAAAAATAAATAAAATACAAAATCAAAATATGGGATGCACGCCTTTCTTAGAGTCCCTATAAAGCACATGTGTAATCTAAATGAATTCCATATAGTAGTTTTTGAGCAGAAGTGGATAACGTACACCCCCCTGTTGGATGGAACGAACAGGCTGAATAGAACAACAAACATCTGTAAAAGTGACAAAATTAAGAAATTTCATAAAAAATTATGAAATGCACACCTTTAGAGTCCCTACAAAAGACATGTAGAAGTTCATTCAATTCTGTTGAGCAGTTTTTGTGGAGAAGTGGATAGACTTCATCCCCTATTACACTATCATCATAGAGAAATTCAGCAAAATGTACCTAAGTTCAAATGTCTCTAAACTTACAAAAACAATAAAATACAAAAATAAAATATGAGATGCACACCATTAGAGTCCCAAGAAAGCCCATGTATAAGTTCATTGAATTCCACATAGCATTTGTTGTGGAGGAGTGGATAGAGTACATTCCCTGTTTCGTACGGACAGACACGGAGGGTAACCCTGTATGCCCCCAGCCATATATGGCGGGGGCATAAAAATGATTAGCGATTGTAAAAAAACATATTTTCGATTAATTGGAATTTTGTTGTTTTAGTTTAACACACTTGAATGAAGTAAACTAGCGATTAAATTTGACGAATATTCACGAACAAACACGCACTCAACAGCGTAAAGCTATGTGCATTGTAACATTTTAACCACATTTATTGTTTAATTACATGCATTTCATTGCATGACAGTATTAGTTATAAGGAACATTTTTTAGAAAAACCTGGGGAAAAACCCTTCAAATTGGTGATTTATTTAAAAATGTATATATTTCGATAACAATCGATAATAGTTCACCACAACCCTCCGATAATAGATAGTGGATTTGGTTTCCGATTCCCAACACTAGGGGGAAGGGTCATTAACATAGTACATGCTTCTCCATAAAAAAACCCATCATCCCCACTATCCATAAATTATGAACGGTCCCTCATGTTGCCATGGGGATGGAGAAATGTCTTGTCTACCCTGCTTATAATGACCCTTGTTATAACACCAAACTGGTTATAACGACCAAGGTTGTCAGTAACAATTTCCCACCATTAAAATTCTCTGAATACAATGTCAAACTGGTTGTAATGACTCTGCCAACCTTTCTCAGAACAAATGTTCCAACTGCCTGGTTATAATGTCTGGTTATATTGCCAAGTTCCTTTTGCCAAGTGGTCAGCACACCAGTAGCTATGATTATGTAATTGTTCAGTAGGTGTGCAAAGTTGATATGAGTGAGTTGTTAAATACTTCCTTAATCCTGTCAGTTAAGAGTTAATCTTTTGGACTTTTTTCACTAGTAAGTTTATACAAAGTTTGACGCAACTCAAATAGATTTAGTAATCTCTGCTCTATAAATTAACTGTTCTTGGCACATATCATAAAGAGTCATTCATGGCTTTCAAAAGAAAATGTCTATCTACGCTACACTGATTTTTATCAAATGTACCTAATGGATTGGGATAGAGAACTTTGACAATGGGCCATTTTCAGGATTATTAGCCATTTTTGAATTTAGAATGGGCCACTGCCCTTGTATCAATAGTAAATTTTAATGGGCCATTTTTTATTCTAATGTGCAAAATGGCCCATTGCCCCTGCCTTTCCCAGTCCCTGGTACCTGAATGCATGCATGACTTGGTTTTAAATGACTAGAAGGCCCCTCGGGTTATGACATCCAAATGACTACTAACCTTCTAGCACCTCATAAGCAGCTTGGTATCTGGGGTAATAATGTCCAGCATGCTGTATGTGCTTAGGGGGAGGTGGGGTAGCCTAGTGGTTAAAGCGTTGGCTTGTAACGCCGAAGACCCGGGTTCGAATCCCAAACTTGGGAAATACTGATGACTGGTCAAATCAAGAACATACAAAGTGCAGCTACAGCTTCTTATGAAAGTGTAATGTACATGAAATTAGCAACTGATACATCACCAATGAGAACACAGAAGGTCAAACTATGTACTCAACATGGGAACCAGTGGTACAAGATGGTCATATGGGATTTTTTGAAAATTTGGTTAAGCCAGACCAGTCTTATTTCTTGCTTTATGGATTTCTGTCCTAAGAAAACCTAAAGGCAGGAGAGAAAAAGGAAAATCACCAGTCAAAGCAAAAACCCACATGAGTTTCCATGGTAACCCTTTTGTTTAAATCAACTGAAATTAAGTTGAGTGAGTTTAGGTTTCACACTGATTTCAAGAGTATTTCACTTATATCACATCAGCATTAGGATTTTATTTTTTGAGCAGGGGAAAATTAATTAATTTTTTTTCTTATTCTTAAAAGTATACGACCGGCGGATCCGTAAAACAAGAAATAAAATTGGTCTGGCCTTATTGAGAAAAACAGACATATGTAATTTTTTGTCAAATTTGAAAGTACACAACAAAACACAATTACGAAAGACATGCACTGATAGACATACATTTTCTTTGTGATATACAGACATGGCAAAATGATGGGCCAATTAAAATTCAAGACAGATAAGAATGTGATCACCGACTAACAATTTCAATCTTGTACTGCAGTCTGAATAATTGATAGACAAAGGGAGCTCATTGGTACTCCAGGTGAGTCAGTAACGTGTAGAACAGGAAGCCTCTGTCACTGGACTTGGTGGAGAGTGATCACTTCACTATTCTGGTGGTAACATCACAGACCTCTTAGCAATATCCTGAAATAATATAGAAAACCATTTGGTAAAATAATGAAACGCCATTACACTTATTCTTGAATCTACAAAATTCCGTCGGAGTTTAAAAAAGAACTAGTAATCACACAGTGATTAAAGTAGATGTAAGTTAGTGTTGTTTAAGTAAAAATTTAAATTTTCTGACAGTTTTATGGTTAATTCATTTCAGTGATCAAAACATCAATTCCTGCAGTGCCTGGGATTTATGCTGTTGGGGGGATATTCCAGCGATATCATAGTGAATAACACGAGAGATAGGCCTCGAACGATGTTGTAGTCATTGGCCACATTTCTGAAGAATTGTTGTTCTGCTGTACCCCTCACTCACTCTATATTCAGCTATGGTATCGGTCCAGTCCTCTTCTGCTATTCTTGGAATAGCCTTTTTCAGTGTGTTGACTGCTTTCACAGCATTCTCTTTGAAGGCTTTTACAGCTAATTCAACGTTCACCTGCAATATCAAACCAAGAATATTCACACAAATGCAGTATATATGCACATATATATATATAGGTTTCTCATAACTGTCAGAATGTGGATAACTTAGAGTACTACCTCTTTTAAACAAACTTTGAAAGTCATTTCATGGCTGCAAGAAAGATGATGATAAAAGGACGTGATGAAACAACACGAACAGGACGGGATGAAACAACACGAACAGGACGTGATGAAACAACACGAACAGGACGTGATGAAACAACACGAACAGGACGTGATGAAACAACACGAACAGGACGTGATGAAACAACACGAACAGGTCGTGATGAAACAACACGAACAGGACGTGATGAAACAACACGAACAGGACGTGATGAAACAACACGAACAGGTCGTGATGAAACAACACGAACAGGACGTGATGAAACAACACAACAGGACGTGATGAAACAACACGAGCAGGATGTGATGAAACAACATGAACAGGATGTGATGAAACAAGACAAACAGGATGTGATGAAACAACACGAACTGGATGTAACAACATGAACAAGAGACAGCAGCACTGGAACAAGCTGTCTATTTGTTGCTCGGAGTCCAAACATTCTTAACTGACCACTACCAAGGCTAACAGTCTCTGAAAATATATAATTTCGATGTGAAGAGATGACTGTTTTTGAAGTGAAAATGAATCCCAGTAAAGATACTCAGAATCTGAACCTGAGGAAAATCTAGACTAACTTTATATGGCTTTGCATTGCAGAACGGGAAACTAATGTGGTTCTGGGACAGTGAGGCAGACTAAATAGTAACCTGTCAACATAGACCTAACAGATGTAAACACATTCAAAGGGGAACTCAACCTGTGGTTGCTATCACCAGCAGTGGATTCCCATGGGTTCACACAAATTAACACCTATCATCTGCCTTGTCGTAAGAGGCGACCAATGGGATTGGGTGGTCAGGCTTACTGACTTGGTTGACACGTCATCATATAACAATTACGTAGATCGATGCTTCTGCTGTTGATCACTGGATTGTCTGGTCTGAACTCCATTATTTACAAACATATAGCTGGAATATTACTGAGTGAGGGGTTAAACAACCAACCAATTATCTGCATGCTGGTAAAGTCATCTGCTGACACTCATAGGGCACTAGGAACATATTCTGACTGAAATTCCACAGGATAATTATTCAAAAGCCTGGATTTATAATTTCTCACTCACCGCCGCTGTGTCTTCCCGCCAGGAGTCGTAGTCTGTGACCAGAGCCAGTGAAGCGTAACACAGACCTGCCTCTTTCGCCAAAGCCACCTGGAACATGAGTTTCTTAAATGATGATACATACCAAACCGTTTAGGTACTTCAAGCATATTTTATACAATTACAAGTATCAGATGCTTGATGGGCATTTAGAAGTTGGAAGGTAACATAACAACGTATGGTATGGATTTACAACTTCTCTAATGTTTACAACACGACGTTTCTGGGCTACTTCTTGCCCCTTCGTCAGGTGAATGATTCAGGTGTTGTAAACATTAAAGAAGTTGTAAATCCATACCATACATTACGTTGTTAAATTATAAGTAAGTTTTAAACTTTTACAAGAATGTTTTATACTATGACAAGTATATTTTATATTAGTTTTTATACAAGTATGTTTTAACTTTTATAATATTACTAGTATATTTTATATGATTACAAGAATATTTGAAACAAGTATGTTTTGCAATATGAATGCAGTACAGTGGGTAAGTGAGTGATTTGGGATAACATTATCAAACACCAGACAGATAGCGTACCTCAGGGACTGTGCTCATGTTGATCACATGGCCTTCCCACAAACGGAACATTTTGCTTTCAGCTTTTGAAGAAAACCGGGGACCTTCTATGGTCACCATCGTGCCTTTTTGAATGATGGCTGTAACCCAGATCCTTCAGGCACCCACACAAAATCTGAAAAGGAATGAAAGAAAAGCTGCACATACACATATTTCTGGAGAGTGTGATCCTAATATTTTTTATGAGTCCATTAGATGCAGCATGTGTGCAACAGAAATTAGTTCTACTTTCCACAAAAATGTCCGAGGTATTAAAAGGGAATCGTTTTCGTTCATAATCAAGTATTTCACTCAACACAACTGAGTCTTGGACTGACTGACTGAGTTTGGTTTTACGCCGCTTTTAGCAATATTCCAGCAAAATCACGGCGGGGGACACCAGAAATGGGCTTCACACAATGTACCCATGTGGGGATTCTAACCCGGGTCTTCGGCGTGACTGAGTCTTGGAGAGTCATTTAAAAGTTGGAGGATCCTGAACACATGACGCTTTTGTACTGCTGAAAAAGCGAGGATCCTGAACACATGACGCTTTTGTACTGCTGAAAAAGCGTCCTGTATTTAAAATCAACTGAATGTTCAAGATAATTCTTTCGTGACCAACATGGTAATCTTCTGCATGAATCTAAAGGATGTTTATGACTCTCTAAAACTATGCAATCACATAATCACTCATGGTTTTCATAAACTTCAAATCCTAACTATGAGTTTCAACAGAAATTACTAAATGGGAGACAGAAACTATGACTGACAGCAGACTTGGTTCACAAACTATGTAGAGTATAGCAAAGACAAATCATTTCAGAAATAAGACCAGATTCGCTAAAAACACAAGCATCTTTCATTCTAATGATGTGATCAGATTTCATTCTGAGTTCTTCTGACAAAATCTTGATGCACAAAGGCACTGATTCAGATAGGTTGGTTGGTTGGTTGGTTGTTTTACACCGCACTCAGCAATATTCCAGCTATATGGTGGCGGCATGTAAATAATGGAATCTGGACAACCAATCCAGTGATCAACAGCATGAGCATCAATGTACGCAATTGGGAACCGGTGACATGTGTCAACCAAGTCAGCGAGCCTGACCACACAATCCAGTTAGTCGCCTCTTACGACAAGCATGGGTTACTGGAGATCAATTCTAATTCGGATCTTCACAGACTCAGAAGAAAAGATAAGATTTTATTGAGATTCTTACCTGCCTGGTTCTTGAGCAGAAAGGCTCGTTCATGGGAATATGGCAGACACCTCTATGTGAGGAGGAAGATCCATCATAGAATGTCAGAGCTCTCTTCTGAGTTCTACAACAAAACAACACAGAAAAAATTAATATAGGTAGGCTGAATTGTCTCTAAAAGAGTTACATCCCTTTCATTATCAATTTAGTTTTCTGTGCTCTCAAACCTGTCAATACGAAAACATATTATTAATCTGACTGTAGAAACATTTTGGAACTGAAAATACAAAAAATAAAAAATGATTAGAAAGATGTTGACAGGTACACCGAATATGGTCAAAATCTACATAACTATGTAAGAACCATGTGTTTTCACCTGTCAATAAACTGGTCGATAACGACTATATCGCCTGGGTGCATGTCTTCATGCAGTGACCCACAAGCTGTAGTAACCACCAGATGCGTGCATCCTTCTGCCTTCAGCGCCTCCACATTCGCTCGGTAGTTGACGTTGGATGGCATTAATGTGTGTTGTCTGCCATGTCTACAAAACATTCATGAAATGTCATTTCTTCAGCTTGTTAAAACAACTTCAACTACAGACTCAGTTAATCAAATTACTACTGAAAAGTATGATGATCTCATTGATTCATCGTTGACTGTTTGTTGTTTAACACCACACCCAGTAATATTCCAGCTCTATGGCGGCAGTCTGTAAATAATGGAATCTGGACCAGCCAATAAATTGATCAACAGCATGAGCATCAATCTATGCAATTGGGATATGATGACATGTGTCAACCAAGTCAGCGAGCCTGACCACCCAAACCCATTACTTGCCTCTTACGACAAGGCAGATGATAGGTGTTAGTGTGTGAACCCATGGGATTACACAGCTGGTAATAGCAACCATGTTGAATGTGTTTACCATTGTCAGGTCTGTATGCTAGACAAATGATTAAGAAATTTGGCAGCTTACTATTTAGTCTGTCTCACAGTCCCTCAACCACATTAGTTTCCTATTCTGCATTGCAAAACCATATAAAGTTAGTCTAGATTTTATGTAAATAATCGAGTCTGGACCAGACAATCCAGTGAGCATCAATCTACACAGTTGGGATACGACCAAGTTTTGTCAACCAAGTCGGCGAGTCGTTCCCACCCGTTCCCGTTACTCGTCTCTCACGACAAGCATGGGTTGCTGAAGACCATATATAACCTGATATATGTTGTTACTGACTTACCTAGCCAGGAGGACACACTCAATGCCACTTATAGTTCCAACAACCAGGCAATCTGAAGGCTTAAAATACAAACAAAATATCATACATGTGACAGATTTATATTCCAGTGCAACATACTTGTTGGAGTAAGTGAGTGAGTTTCGTTTTACGCCGCTTTTAATAATATTCAAGTAATATCACGGCGGGGGACACCAGAAATGGGCTTCACACATTGTACCCATGTGGGGAATCGAACCCGGGTCTTTGGTGTGATGAGTGATGCTTTAACTACTCGGCTAACCAACTGCGCCTGACTGGGGCCAATCTTATTTTCACTGTCATTCAAATCTTATGAGTAGGTCATAAGTTCAATATGTGGCATACATTTTGTAGTACCTGTGTTGCAACGACTCCAACACCAAAAGCTACATCTGTACTATTTTGTTTATCATTTAGGACATCCAGGATGACCGGTAAATGTTTTCTGTAATTTTGGCGCTTTATTTGAGAATAACATTACTTACCTTTCCAAATGGAGTTTCAACATACTTTGCCTGCCTGTTCTCCAATATGTCAGGGTTGTCCAGACCAGATCCTCCAATTATTCCGACCTAAATCAATAAAAAGATAGATCACCAATGGGCATCCTCACAATTAAAGAGTGAAAAAATTGTTTAAATTTGTCTACACAGCCTTCTGACGTAATACTTCACAAAACCTCGTGAGTGAGGGAGTATGGTTTTACGCTGCTTTTAGGAATATTCCAGCAATATCATGGCGGGGGACACCAGAAATTGGCTTCATACATTGTACCCATGTGGGAATTCGAACCCAGTGTAACAGGCCAGAGTATACCCTTGTCCCAGACTATACCTGAGGTTAAACTGGGCTAGCCTAGTTCATACCCCGGGGTATATTCTCAGGGCTCGTTTTAGTGCTTTGTTACTTGCACTGGTGCATCCCAATATTACAAAGTGCAACCTAGTTATTAGTCTAACTTGCACCAGGTGCGAGTCAATTTTTTAGACTTCAGCTGGAAAACAGAATGATGAGGAACTGACTTGTAAGAGTGACTCTGATGACTGTATGAGCAGTGACTGAAGGACTTACTGTTCATGAAATTGTTATAATGTTCTAAACTATCATTACCAAAACTAAAGCATCATATTTTATGCAAGATTTTATATTGAGCAGCAGGTGCAACCTGTTTTTGTCTGATGCATTAAGGTTTCTACCTAAGGTTGCACTGGGTGCAAGTAGGTTTCATTTCTTTAAATCGAGCCCTGATTCTGGACTAGGCCATAGTATAACACACACAGACACCCAGCCCAGATCATACCCCTATAGAAAATAAGTGATTAAGGACACTGCTATAATTTTATTGTACTTTACACACAATTAAACACTGGTTACAACAATAAAATGGTCCGATACATTCTCCAGGTACAAAGCATAATCAGTCTGGGTTTTCAAACTGAAGCTGGCAGGGTATGTCAGCCATTGCATTAACTGACCAACTGCACTGTAAATGTATATGTCACATCTTAACAGACTGGCTGTTGACATTACTTCTGCATCTGTTATGTTGCTCCATCTCGTTAAATTCCTGAATTAGTGACATACTCATTGACATTTTGGCTCTTTGGGTCTTCAGCGTGACGAGTGGACGCTTTAACCATGAGGATACCCCACCGCCCTTAAAACCTCATGAGTGAGTGAGTGAGTTTGGTTTTACGCCGCTTTTAGCAATATTCCAGCAACATCATGGCGGGGGGACACCAGAAATGGGCTTCACACATTGTACCCAAGTGGGGAATCGAACCCGGGTCTTCGGCGTGATGAGTCAATGCTTTACCCACTAGGCTACCCCATCGCCCCTGAAACCTCATGAATCTGGTCGAGATATACATCCTGAGCTGCTGATGCAGAGTAATGATAAGATTCCCTTGTACAATGCATACTTCCTTGAATAGTCAAAAACACTGATGGGGTTTGATGTGTGGGGCTTTATGAAATATACAAAGCTCATTGTGATATGATAAAATGGCAATAAGACTTAATAATTCAAATTACATATTAATTTTTTTTACAGTACAGAAATAGCAACTGTCTAACTAATGTGCACCATCATGATCACAGTATCTATGAAAAATAACAACAATAGCAGACAGAGAAACAGATTATACTATGTGGTGACATATTCCCTTCACAGGGTGAGGCCCACTGTGTTTTTTTTGAGTGGCATTCTAGAATTTGACTACCATATAAATAATACATGTGTACATATTACATCAAATACAAGTACCACGATCATCCAAGTAGACATAAATAGAGAGTGTCTAACAAGCCATTTGTAGAAATATAGATCAATTATGAGAAAGTTATTGTTAAGTTAAGTTAATTATTTTTCTGTGAAAACTTAAAGCATTGTGTCTTGATGATAAAATCCTGAACAGATTCAACTATTTTCTGGTTTTCACAGTGAGTAAGTTCTTTGTTTCCATTCATAATGGTATCCAGGTTATAACCGGTAGTATAAAAATACATATTAGTTCTTATCTGAATATAGTTACCGCAAGTAAAAATATAGTGTATGGCGTTTTCACTCTGACATCCAGAGGAGCAACATGGACTGTCTATTAAATGCCTGATATACTTATCGGCGTTTAGGTCGCTACAACCGAGCCTGAGGCGGCAGGGAACGATTTGACAAAATCGAATGCCATAATTTAGGTCAAAATAATTCATGTTTTCGGTTTTTGTAATTAGAATTTTAAATTCTGAGAGACTACATGACAAAACTATATGGATGATCAACTTCTTTATTTACACAATAGCGATGTTTCAGTATAGATTCTTCTTCATATGCTTGAAAACAGTATAAGAATCTACACCGAAACGTTGCTATTGAGAAAATAAAGAAGTTGATCATCCATAAAGTTTTGTCATCCCGCCCACTGTGCTGTGCCATCATTTCATAAATCCACACTATTGTGGAAAGAAAAATGGTAACAGATGTTCTCCATATAGATACACAAAAAGATTCATGGGTAAACTGAAATGGTTAAAACATATTTTATGGATGAACAGCTTCTTTATTCCGGTGGTGCGACGTTTCAATACAGATTCATATATCGTTGTGTATGGAACAGGCTGAGAGAGATTGGACTGAGACCCGACGTCGGGACCTTGCTACGTGGTCACCATTGCGCTCAACGTCTCTGTTATCTAAAATTATCCACTTGGTGGTATAGACATTACTTTCTTCTAAACTGAGGTAAAAATTCATTTCTTAAAGTCTATTTGTGGACGAGTTATACATGTTTGAAAATACAACATTTTCGCAACAGATTTCTGGGTTATGCGTTTCTTTTTAGGAATAGTATATAACCAATAACACATCCCAGTATATAACCACTGACATATCCGAGTATATAACCAGACATATCCGAGTATATAACCACTGACATATGACAGTATATAACCAGACATATCCCAGTATATAACAAATGACATATCCCAGTATATAACCATCAACATATCCCAGTATATAACCACTGACATATCACAGAATATAACCACTGACATATCACAGAATATAACCACTGACATATCCCAGTATATAACGACTGACATATCACAGAATAAAACCACTGACATATCACAGGACATAACCACTGACATATCACAGTATATAACCACTGACATATCACAGTATATAATCACTGATATATCCCAGTATATAACAAATGACATATCCCAGTATATAACCATCAACATATCCCAGTATATAACCACTGACATATCCCAGGATATAACCACTGACATATCCCAGGATATAACCACTGACATATCCCAGGATATAACCAGACATATCCCAGGATATAACCACTGACATATCACAGTATATAACCACTGACATATCACAGGATATAACCACTGACATATCCCAGTATATAACCACTGACATATCACAGAATATAACCACTGACATATCACAGGATATAACCACTGACATATCACAGAATATAACCACTGACATATCACAAAATATAACCAGACATATCCCAGAATATAACCACTGACATATCCCAGAATATAACCACTGACATATCCCAGTATATAACCACTGACATATCACAAAATATAACCAGACATATCCCAGAATATAACCACTGACATATCCCAGAATATAACCACTGACATATCCCAGTATATAACCACTGACATATCACAGAATATAACCACTGACATATCACAGGATATAACCACTGACATATCACAGAATATAACCACTGACATATCACAAAATATAACCAGACATATCCCAGAATATAACCACTGACATATCCCAGAATATAACCACTGACATATCCCAGTATATAACCACTGACATATCACAGAATATAACCACTGACATATCCCAGTATATAACCACTGACATATCACAGGATATAACCACTGACATATCACAGAATATAACCACTGACATATCACAGGATATAATGACTTACATTTCCCAGTATATAACCACTGACATATCACAGTATATAACCACTGATATATCACAGTATATAACCACTGATATATCCCAGTATATAACCATCAACATATCCCAGTATATAACCACTGACATCATTGTATATAGGCTTACAAAATCAAGTCAAGCGAGCCAATTTCATTTCACTTCAATTTTCCATTGTTTTGGGAAAAAATCACCATGTAACATACATAAACTTATGTCTTTTGGAGTTACCTGCAAATTGCTGCAGAAATGTGTCGAGCATGTTAAGACAAATGAGGAACAATTAATACTGACAGAAAGACAACACCAAGAGAACAACAGTCCAACCATGCAGTGGGTACAGATCTGGATATGAATAAATGAGGAATCCCTGATGACAGTATATCTGAATAGATGAACTCGATGAAGGTGAGCATGCTTTAGTGCTTTTATTTTCACTAATAGTGTCATGAACCAACAGCTTGAGATAGCATACCATGCAATAATGTCATATTCAGTTTTGAATCGACCCCCGTCCAGATGGTTTGTCCTCCACGCTGGAAGCATGCTCGACACACATTCTGTCAGTGTTGACAGGATTTCAAATTATTCAATCATCTGCTGTTACCCATGCACCAATGATGGGAACTCACTCTCACGAATATTCGAAATTACATAACGACAGTGAAGGAAAAAATCTTTAATTTGTGATGACAAACTCTTAAATAGCACATATCTATATTTATTATCATATGCAAACAACCTCAGAAGATAATTTTGCTAAAAACTTGTTGCCAAAACCAAAATAGGTTTGCAGATTTATAGCCAAGTGTTGTCGTGATGACCTATTCGAACACGTGCGATGTATGACAGTTACCTTTACCTTTACTTTCGACATGTTTGGGGTTGTGGTCAGTGTTTCCTGTAACGTGCAACTCTTGTTTCTCCCAGAGCCGTGACCCTTCCTCCAACAGACCACGCGTGTGATACGAAACGGGATCTCGTAACGGGAGTTATCTCCCGTTGTGGCTCATTGTTTACAAACAGTTCCTGGTAGAATCGTGTTATTCCACAGTATTTTAAACGGCCTCGTGGTGGTGTATGTTTTCAGTACAACCAGGAATTATTGAGAATTTAAAGATTGTAATTTAAAAAAAAACATTCACTCATTACTCACGTATTAAATGTGAATATTAGCAGAACATAACTCCAGATTCAAAGACAGGTGAACAGTTAGTATTTTGTCAAGTCATCATGGGCAGCAATGCAGGCTTCAATGCGGCGGGGCATACTACTGATCAAAGAAGTTAGAAAGTCGTGGTCCATGCTGTCCCAATATCGGACCACCTCTTCTTTCATTTCAGCAATATTTGTCCGATTTTTCTTATTGACACTTTCCTTCTTAAGTCCCCAAACATTTTCTATTGAATTTAGGTCAGGGCTATAGCTTGGCCAATCTAATAATGTCATATTTTGGGTCCGAAACCAGGGCTGTGAATGCTTTGAACGATGTTTTAGGTCGTCGTCCTGCTGGAAAATCCAAAGATTTCCATAGAACACGTGAGCAGATGGAAGTAAAGGTCCCTCGAGAATATCTGTGTACCGCTCACTGTTCATATTGCCCCTAACACAGATATGCCACCCCACACGTTACATTTCGGACTGTACTTTGGGCGCTGATACAAAGGTTTTTAAGTTTGTTTGGTCCAGAATTTCAGTGTATTAGGAAACAGCCACACAGAACTTTCATCTGAGAAAATCACATTGTCCCAGTTAAAATTTCTATGCTGTAAGCACCAGTTCAACCTTCGCTCCTTTTGTTCAGGTTTCATGATCGGTGGTGGAATTCCTCGACTTTTCTGCCAACCAATTGCATGCAGCTCAGTTCTAATTGTCTCCTTACAGACAGCCACAGTTCCTCTATCAATCATATCCAGCCTTAAGTTTTCTTAACTCCTTCGTTTGTTTTTAGAAACAAGAATACAAAGCCGCCTCCTGTCACCGACAGTCAATTTTCTGGGCCTCCCTACGCTTCCCTGGTGCTCAATGCCATATCCATTTGCAATATTTTTCAAAACACGATAAACAGTGGACAAAGGGATGCCTGTTCTACTTGAAATCACTTTAGCTGATCTGATGTCCTTGTTATAATACTCTAAAATCAACTTCCTCTTCTCTAAATCATCCATACTGAGGATCACTGAAAATTTCGTCTGCTAGCAAGTAAACAAAGGGGGATAACTCTTCACAAACTAATGAAAAAGGATTAACGGAGTTGTCTGTTGAATGAAACCAATGAAACCAAGCACTTGATAGCTGGTCAAGGCTGTATATACTAGAAATCCAATTAAACATTTTCCTAAAATTCTCAATAATTTCTGGTCGTACTATAATATCGTAACAATAATAAAATGGTAATTGCCAAGCATGTCTTTGAATGTAATGACTATTAGGGCTGGGACGGGTCCAAATTTCCTACCAGGGTACCCGACCCGTTACAACACTAATTGCGAGTTATCCCCCTTCAATAAAATCAGTTATGGATGGGATAAGAGTGGCGTCTGGAAATATTTTGAATACTCGCATCAGGCACAAAGACAAAATGCACTTTGTGCACAGTGCAGCTAAGTCAGATAGGAGGGAGTACGTAATCGATGTGGAAACACCTAAAGAACAAACATCCCACCGTAACAAACCAGAAGCTACAAACAAATGCCGTTCCAATCTACAGGCAAAATACAATTGAAGATATAAATAAAAAGTGTATACCATTAAACTAACAAGTAAACAATGTAATGTAAACATAAAGTTGTCAATCTCTCTCCCTCTCCCGTGGACTCAAAATCCAATCACAATAGTCAGACAGACAGACAGATTGCTTATTTACGTCTCGCCATATGTACATTAAAATAAATAATAATACATATAAAAATATACAGTAAATATTATAAATGGAGTTATGAGACACGGTTGATAATTAAATATCACAGAGCAATATATTGGAAACATATGAGTAGATAAAATGACAACTGAACCTAAAAAAATATATACAAAAATATTAACATGAAATGTTTAACTTATTTATATGAAATTTTGCGGCGTCTTAAAAGGGTTTTAAAGCATCTTTTGGCACGTACGTTTATAAGATCTTGAGAGCTTAAAAGGAGTGATGACTTCTCAGGTTCCGATAAGAGGGTAAAACGTGGCATGAAAAGCTTTGCTGATGTTAAAAGGTCTTCTCTTAAATCGTCGTAAAGTGGACATTTCAATAAAAGGCTGTTCCGATTCAACTCGACTTGGGCAGTGAAAACATCTATCTGTAAGTTCGATTCCTTCATAACGGCCGGTTTCTATACGCGGAGGCGCTGTACCCGTCCTGAACAAAGCGAGGGCACGTCTGTGAGACTTTGAGGTGTTAAAACATAGGCCTCTGTTATATCGAATATTGATTTATGGATTCTGTAGCACAGGCCCTCGTGTCTATGCGAGGATGACCCCCAACTCGAAATGCTTCACAGTACAATACATGATGTATTGTATTGTGAAGCATTTTGAGTAGGGGGTCATCTCAAATTTTATATATTTATAAAAAATCTTTAAGCTGCAGTACCAATACTAGTAGTAGTTGTAGTAGCATTTGAATTGTAAGTTGAAATGGGTGAGTGAGTATGGTTTTACACCCCATATAGCAATATTCCAGCAATATCAGGCCTGGGACAAAATGGGCTTTACGCATATAGTAGCCTACCTCTGTGGGGAATCGAACCCGGGTCTTCGGAGTGACGAGCGAACGCTTTAACTAATGGGATCCCCTACTCCCCGTCAAATGTAAACTTTGCAACACTGAGAATTGTTTAACATCAGTTGTATCGTATGTATGAGCTTGTTTTGGGACGAACCATGCTTAGACCGAATGGAAGTCTTAGACGTGTATCTCGTCAGTTAAATACTGGAGCACGGGTGTGGAACGGACAAACCACGAGACAATCAAAACTAAACTGAGATTTGAACCCCTAGACCACATATTTTTTTCTGCCAAGATAAAGGCTCTCAAATCGAACTATATTTAACTATATTTGGCTGCTGTGCCTAACCAAGAATTCCCACGGGAAACCCTTAGGTACTACACGAAATAGATACTAGAAGATATGATAATTTACTCAGCACTGTGATAACGATGGATTCTTAATCTCAGCACTATTCTTTCACACCCCACCCAAAAAATAAAACAAAAACATTCATTTATTCAAACATTCATTGTTCATTATTCATTTCAAACAATATTGATTCATTATTCACTTTTTTCGGGTTCGAGTCATCCATGTGTTTAGGTACGAGCGTGTACGGGTTGTCTAACATTTGGGTATACAGGTCCTCCAAGAAAGCTTCGGTACGGATCTCTGTGAGTACAAATTGTCCTGTTCCTGTATGAAATAAATCAAATTAGTGTCAATCTTATAATGGTCTTTCTTGAGACGTTTGTACTACTACTGCTGCTGCTGCTACTACTACTTTAAGTCTACACGACTTGTACAAGCCCGGACTAATGCTGCGTGTGTATGTGTGTGTGCGTGTTCTCATGTGTTCTATAGTTCTGTTCACCTCACTCTGAGTCGAACATTTCTTGTCTTACTTCCAAATACCAGAGCAAGACGCAGGTTAACAACCAGTACCATCCATTTTATTTCGTCCAGGAGATCGATCTCCAACTCTCTGGCACGACACAACGAAGGCGATCAGGAATTTTGATAGACTAACGCTTAGTCTCTGAATATATATAATTTTGATAGTAACAAATAAACCCATTTATATTGAAGAGGAGCCAAAAGGAGACCAGAGATTCAGCCATGGCAGTTAGGTATGTACGTATGTTTATCCATAAAACGTGTCATGTATTCATGTTCGCCCAACTTCTAAATGCCTTTCAAAAACTTCATATGTTTACTTTGTAGCTCGAGGGTGAGGTGAAATTGGGTTTTACTACGTGCTTGAGAATATTTCACTCATATGACAACGTGCATGCGTGTGTATGTGTATGTGCGGCTGCTGGTACTAGCCCAGACTTAAATTGGTTTTATAGTGCTAGCCCACTGAGATACCATGCCGCAGTGAAGCATGAATACCCAACTCAGACACATTATACTGACTCCGAGCCGACCAGTCCTTGTTGTACCCATTAATACCGAGCGCCAGACAGGGACCAACAAGTACCATATTTTAACTTATTACCTACGAGGTGAGTGAGTGAGTTTGGTTTTACGCCACTTTTAGCAATATTCCAGCAACATCACGGCGGGGGACACCAGAATTGGGCTTCACACAATGTACCCATGTGGGGATTCGAACCCGGGTCCTTGGCGTGACGAGCCAACGCTTTAACCACTAGGCTACCCCATCGCCCCTATTACCTACGAGGGCATACATATCGGGGTTCATATTTTTCATACGTGATGCCCTAGAGCAAAATATCATTTTGTCATGGTGACGTGACGTCATGAACAAGGCTATGACGTCACGTTTCTTCTGCGACGTTGCGTTCTACATTCGGCGACGACGGGTAGCCAGCCTTTGTTCGAAAGAAGATTTGGGTTTATTTTCTTCAATTTGACGACTTCGGTAATAAACAGAATATTATATTCGTGCCCATATCATACCATGTTTACAACACTCGTGCCTAAATATCAGTATATCCCTCGCTCTCGCTCGGGAAATACTAACATGTAGGCACCCGTGTCGGAAACATAGTATGACATGGGCACTCATATAATATCCTCTATGTCTTTTGGTATGACGCGGTCGGGGATCGAACCCGCGCCTTCCGCTCTCCGGGCGGACGCTCTAACCACTACACCACGGAGGTGGTTTATAGCTCGACCCATAAAGCGAGTTAGTTTTCTTGCATATGATAACAGACCCTGAACCTGAGTAAAACTAGACTTGCTTCATATAGACTTTAGCATTGCAGGGAGGGTTAGGCAGTAGGGAAAATAATGTGGTTCTGGGACTGTGAAACAGACTAGAATATTGTGTATATAGCCACTATCAGCTTTATCGTTGTGTTACATGCCAGTTCAGAAACATCCTTCACTTCTCCATCAGACATTTATAAGATTGCATGGGAACTGTATATAAAATGGCAGAACATGTCTGTAAAACAGGCTCACCAACTTGGTTGACACATGTCATTGTATCCCAATTGCGTAGATTGATGCACCACTGGATTGCCTGGTCCATGCAGACTCGATTATTTACAGACCACCGCCATATAGCTGGAATATTGCTGAGTTCGGCGTTCATCAACAATTAAACCAACCTAAGCACTGACATGATATAATTTAAGTACCTGCAGTGTAAAACGACATTCACTCATCACTTATCCAAATGTATAACCACTGGTGTGTTTGTGTGATTTACATAGGATTTTGGTTTAATGTACTTCTTGACCGAACGGTAGTTCAGATGACAAATATAAAGGACAAAAACAAATTATTGTGTGAAAATTAGCAGATAAAGAAACTGTGAACATGAAATCGTTGTAAAAATAATTTGGTAACAAAACATAGTGAAAGAGGTGCTATGGGTTTAAGAAACATTTTGTGCAGAAATAATAACTCTCAAACCTGCAATATATAGGTCTACAGTATATGTGTGCAAGGTCATATCTTTTTTAGTGGTCTATATAAGGTAACAATACTTGGGAGTTATCCGACATAAGCGGAAGTTGCATGGTTTCATTCGGATATTCTCGGTAGCTATCGTTCTGTTGACTGGTTTGCCTTTCGTACATCGCTTGCGCTCTTCGCCGAAATGAAATCGTTACAAAGTAAATGTGAGGGTCCCAGTCTATCGCTTTCAGCGAAATACGTTATCAGAGATATGGAAGGTTGAAGCAAGAAGTATTGATTGTAATGGAGCACGTGGGATTTGTTTGACGTATGTTTTGATTTTGATTAAGAACGTGTTTTATGTTTAAGCGACAGATAATTATCATATCATTTGCATAAAACCTGTAGTTTGTTTAGGGCGTCACTAGAGGGCATGTCGCTGATACTGTTACAAAGAGTTGCTGAGAGGATGGAAGCAAGTCTTCCGATCGCCGAAATTAACTCTTTGGCTTTGCCCAAATTAGTGATCAAGTCCCATTAAAGTAATTATTGTTCATGCCATCAGCCATTGGATGACATGCCCCAGATATAATCACTTTATTCTGCTGTGGTTTGGCTGTTTAACTGCTGAGTTTGGTATAAGTAAGAGACCATGCAACTCAAGCAGCTATTTAGTTATTTATCAGCTAGGGCTGCTAAATCCGACAGAAAGCGGATAAACCTGAAGCCAAACTAAGAAAATAAGATACAATTTATTAACCACTTTAATTAACAAGTTAGAAACATTCACTTTAGGAAAAACATCAAGAAGTATTGCTTAAATATTGATGGAATGTCTGAATGTTTTGTATAGTCAGCCTGACAAGACATAAGATTTCACGGTAATGATAAAACCTGTTATCATTCTTTTTGATAGAAATGACACAAGTCACTGAAAATATGTTGAAGGACTTTTAGCATAAATGACATTAATTTAAGTCCTAAAACTGTCCACCCAAAAGGATAACACCAGACTAATCTTCAAGCTTGTCAAATGTAGTTTCAAGCATTTTCCACCAAAACACTTTCTGCACATCAACTCTTGGCAAGTTATTTATTTCTATAAATAGAAACATAAGATATGGCCTTAACTTCCTACTCATGGAATGTATGTTGCTTTTCAATAATGGTTCTATGGGACTAGTTGGTTTTGCATGTATCATCGAAAGATTGACCCATGAAGGTTCTGGTTATAATTGATCTTCAGTAACCCATGCTTGTCTTAAGAGGCTACTAATGTGATCGAATAGTCAGGCTCACTGACTTGGTTGACACATGTCATCGTATTCCAGTTGTGCAGATCAATTATCCCAATACCCTTGCTGTATCATCACAGTATTGTCTGGTCCAGACTTGATTATTTACAGACTGCTGTCAAATAGCTGGAATATATTGCTGAGTGCGGCATTCAACAACAAACCAACCAACCATCCAACAAAGATTGACAAACACCTAAACATGTTCTGAATACATTTGTTGCAGCATCAGAAACCAATGATGGAGGAATTCAGTTCCGAAATACCTGTCTCTCGTCTGAGTGAAGTGTCATTCCGGCTTTATACCAGTGAGGAGATCAAAGCTCTCAGTGTCATCGAGGTCACTAACCCTCAAACTTTTGACATCTTTGCACATGCTACATATGGAGGTCTTCATGATCCTTCTTTGGGTACGTCTTCAAAATGTTATCTTCATTATAAATCCAAATGATATTTTATTTAAGAAGTAGTATTTGTGTTCCTGGAACCTGTGAAGATCTGGATTAGAATTGATCTTTAGTAACCCATGCTTGTCATAAGAGGCGACTAACGGGATCGGGTGGTCAGACTCACTGGCTTGGTTGACACGTGTCATCGTATCCCAACTGCGTAGATCGTTGCTCATGCTGTTGATCACTGGAGTGTCTGGTCCAGACTCGATTATTTACAGACCGCTGCCATATAGCTGGAATATTGCCGAGTGTTGCGTAAAACTAAACTCACTCACTCACTCACTCACTCACTGTGTTCCTGGAAATTATTGGTCCCCCAGTTTTCTATTTCCGAAGCAGTACTCTGTAATAGTTATTCATTCCTGGATGAAGCTAGTGGGTCAGTCTAGTGGTATAGTGGTGCCTTTTGATGATTTCAGGTTCTTTTTGTATAATTTTTTAATCATGTTGATGTTTTCAACACGAGAGTAGATAAGGACAAAACTTTATGGATGATGCATCATCCGAATGAAGAAGTTGTTCATCCATAAACCTTTTTCCTTATCTGATTCTCCAACTTCTAAACATGCAATTCAAAGAAGTTAAACTCCGAGAAAATGAAAATGAGAGTAATGCTTGTTTCCAGGGCAGAACTCCTAAGCTGTTGAATATTTGTGGATGAAATTTGTTATGCAGATAGCTGAGTGGTGAATTGATGCCTTTTGATCATTTGCGATATTGAAAAATAACGAGCTGAAAGTATCCTATAACAATGGGCCAAAGTAGCCAAATTGCACCAGACTGGTTGGGGGAGCAAGATTTTGAAGGGGGTGAGGGTGGAAGGGTGGGGTATGGGGGCATTTGCCATTCAAATTATAATTCAATGTGGCCTCTCATTGATTTGAAAATTTAGATCACCTTGACTGAAATGTTTATTGAGCTAATGTTGACTAGCAAGTTTATGATGACATTGAGAGTTTCATGAACTTCAGTACAACCTCTACTTTCCTTGAGTTGCTTGATCATCATGCTCCCGAGAAGGTGAAATTGATACCATACCGACCAGAAACAACTTGGATTATGACCCCTGAAATCATTTCGGCCAAGGCACACAGGAGAGTAGCTGAAAGAACATGGCGCAAATCTCATCTCGAGATTCACAGACAGATCTACTGTGAGGCAAGGAACAGGGTTACAGATGATGAGATCAAGCGTTCTAAACAGCGTTGTATGAACTCTAAGATCCGGGACAGTATGGATGACCCAAACTCACTGTACCAACTTATGTTCAGCTTACTTGGTAAAGAGACACATAATCCACTTCCAAATCTTGAGACTCTGTGCAGATAGCTCAGTCATTTCAATCATTTTTCTTCGATAAGATTGAGCAAATCCAGTAAACCTATGATTGAAACTTCTACAGATGATCAAGACAGTATATCTTACGCAGATCAACACGCATTGGTGTTGTTCGACTCCTTTACAGAGTTCCCTGAAGACTAAATAAAGAAACTCATCCGAAATCTAAGCCAACATCTTGTGTTTTGGACCCAATTCCTGCGCTTCACTCCTATTAGAAAACATTGATATTCTTGTGCCTGTCTTCACAAACATGATAAACACTAGCCTCAGACTTGGCATCATGCCCACTCCATTTAAATCAGCGATAGGTGAAACCTCTTTTCTGAAGAAATCAAATCTGGATCCAGATGAACTCAAGAATTATCGTCCTGTATCCAACCTTACCTTCATGTCCAAGGTGATAGAGAGAGCAGTGGGAGACAGGTTATCTCAGCATCTGATGCATCATGACCTCTACGAGCCATATCAGTCGGCTTATCGTAAGGACCACAGTACTGAGACAGCTCTTGTCCGTGTGTTTAATGACTTGAGACTCAGTGTTGACAATAACATGACTTCTTTATTGGTCCTCCTCGACCTCAGCGCGCATTCGACACCATTGATCATAGCAGGCTTCTGTCTCGCCTCAGGAATAACTTTGGTATTGATGGGATAGTGATGGATTGGTTCACATCTTATTTGGACAAATCGTCATCAGGCTGTATTCATTGATGGTTGCTCTTCTGACAACGCTCATCTCCAATGTGGTGTTCCTCAGGGATCTGTACTGGGACCGGTCCTTTTCACCACTATACACAAAGGATCTCGGACTCCTAATTGACCAGTTTCAAGTCTCATGCGACAGTTGTATGCCGATGACACCCAGCTTCATAACAGCTTCAAACCAAATCCAACTGATGGCATTCTGCAACAGACCACATGGCAGAGTGTTGTGACCAGATCAAGTCATGGATGTTCTCTACCAACAAGCTGAAGCTAAATGAGTACAAGACAGAGTGTCTTCTGGTAGGGACAACACCTCGCCGAGAAAAGACAACATCATGTCGCTTTCACTTTACGTAAAACCACTGTTCCACTATCTAACAGTGTTAAGGACCTGGTGCGTGACTGTTGATCCTGAGCTGTCATTGACCAGCACATTACCATCTTGTGCAGGACATGCTTCCTACTCCTCCGTAAACACTGGAAACATTCGAAGCTTCTCACAAAGGAGTCAGCTAAAATCCTTGTCCTCTCATTGGTGATGACAAGACTAGATTACTGTAACAGCCTCTTTGCTGGTGCAACAAAATCCCAGATTGGTAGACTGCAACGGTTCAGAACACAGCAGCAAGAATAGTCACTCTCTCACCCAAGTCAGCTCACATCACCCCTGTGTTGAAAGGACTCCACTGGTTGCCCATTCCACGGCGCATCACTTTTAAACTCTGCATTCTCGCCTTCAGATGTCTCTCTGGAAGTGCACCTCAAATATCTTGTCCTGGACTCCTTTCCATACACAAACCAACAAGATCCCTCTCCGGCCCGAGAAACATAATCTTCTGTGTATTCCTAAAGTCAGAACAGTTAAATTTGGTCAAAGAACTTTCTCTGATGCTGCAGCCTCAGAATGGAATCATCTCCCACAACATTTGAGAGAAATTACAGAACTTTCAACCTTTCGAACATCGCTAAAGACCCACCTTTTCCAAAAAGCCTTTTCGTCCTGACATCAGCGCTTTGAGCATGCATTGTGCATGGAAATATGCGCTTTATAAATGAACTATTATTATTATTATTAAATCCACAATTAGGGCTGGGTATTGCAGAGAATTTTCATATTGCAATATATTGCGATGCGAAAGCATATATTGTGATATGTATTGCAATATATTGCAAGAAGTTCTTTTTTAACAAAAAACTACTTATAATCGAGTTAATGCTTGATTTATAAGCAAAAACACAACAAAATCACCATGCTTGATTAAGCTTTAATAAAAACTTTTAATAATGACAAAATAAAAATGTAAATAATATTTGGCACAAATAAAAAAAGGAAAGGAACAATTTATAAAACGGAAATATCCGAAGATTTCCGAGTGTTACAAAGTCTTTTCGAATGCATGTCAAAATACCGGTTTTCAGTCAGCGTATCGCAATACGTATCGTTTTCATCTCTGAACTGGTATATACCAGTAAACCGGTTATATTGCGCAGCCCTATCCACAATGCTCGAGAAAACAAATGTTAATGGATTTTCTCAGGAAATGAACACTGGTGACTTAGATCCGGCTCATTAAATCCCCAATACATTTATAGGGCATCTGCATGTTGAAAAGTTCAGTTCCTATTTGGTGCTGGACTACCATTTCTGTGTATGTCAATTTATGTTTTTGTGTTACACATTCTATTAGTTATTTATGCATATTTATGTTTTACTCTTTCAATAGGATCTTTGTAATATCCTAAAAGTGTATTTTTTTAGGACCACCAAATTCTTTCATATTACAATAGTAAAGTCTGCATTGTAATGATGGTAACATAAACGAATTAGGATGATTCTTGTTGTTTTGTAACCATTGTTGAATAGTTTGTAATTGTGCAAATATTTAGAAATAGATGACATGTCATGTGGTTGCTCTTTTTCTACAACTAATAACATTAATGCATCCATATAAAGAGATAGTGAGGTAGCCTAGTGGTTAAAGCGTTTGCTCATCACGCCCAAGACCCGGGTTTGATTCCACACAAGGGTACAATGTGTGAAGCCCATATCTGGTATCCCCACTGTGGTACTGCTGGAATATTGCTAAAAGTGGCGTAAAACCAAACTCACACCCTCACTTTTTCTACTTTCCTCCCACAGGGCCTAACCACCGTTCTGAAGTGTGCATGACGTGTGGCCTCAGTCATGTGTTCTGTCCAGGACACATGGGGCACATCCAGCTCCCTCTACCAGTCTTCAACCCCATCTACTTCAGAACACTGTTTAAGGTGATGTGGCAAGTACCGCCAGATGTAGTAGTATCAAACAGGTTTCTAGCTTTAGGATGTGTTTTGCTATTTTGGTTCACAACTCATCTCAATCAGTTGTTGGGAGTGGGGTAGCCAAGTGGTTAAAGCGTTCGCTCATCCTGCTGAAAACCTGGGTTCGATTCCCCACATGGGTACAATGTGTTAAGCCCACTTCTTGTTATGTTTCCGTGATGTTACTAGAATATAGCTAAAAGTGGTGTAAAGCCTCACTCACTCATTCACTTGATTTGATATTGTATTTTTATCTCATTCAATTGCACATGTTAAAGGAGTTTCCATCAATGATCTATTCATGTTCACTTTAAACACAAAATTCTCAAACATTTTTATCTTTCACAAAGTACTTACTTACCTTGTTCCAGCATTTGTAGACACAGTGTCTGTACATGGTTAACTGCCTCCATGGTATAGTGGTTAGAATGTCCGCCCAGAGAGCAGAAGGTCATGGGTTCAATCCACGACCGCGTTAAAATATGGTACTTGTTGTTCCCTGCCTGGGGGTAGCATTAATGGGTAAATCAAAGACTGGTCGGCTTGGAGTCAGTATAAAGTGTCTGAGTGGGGCGTCGAACCACTTTTCCAAGGGCTTTTTAGATATTTCTGACACATCATAAAGTTTAAGATAGTGGTCACATGATCTGCTCCAGATGCATTATGGTTGGACATTATGCTTGAACTAGGTTTTGACATGCAGAGGATGTCACATACTGTTATTTTAATGTTTGATATTCAACGTTTCATTTCACTGAAAATGAGTTTAGAAATAGAAATTGTCATTTGTGTTAACTACCTAGTAGCTTTTCATCGGTCCACTACAAGACAATAAACCTGATATCATTACTGAATACCTACAAATGAAAATGAATACCAATAGGTGGAGAAAATAGCTAAGTATTTTCTTCCTTTGCTTTGATCTCACGCACTCACGTCTAGACATTCTCTGATTTTCAGTTTCTGAAAGGAACATGTTTTGACTGCCACAAGCTCATGCTGGACAATGCCTACTGTAAGGTCTTCATCCTCCAGATGGCGCTGCTTAATCGTGGCCAAGTTTCAGGCTGCTTCAAACTTGCAGCGTATGCAGACCATCTCGTGATTGAGAGGGGAAAAAAGTCATATGATCTCAGTGAACGTTTAGATCAGTTTGTAGCTGACAACTTCCCAGGTATGATACCAGGTTTAAGTTTTACTTTGTCAAAATGACGAGGTACTACCAGAAATGGCCCTTATTAACATTTAACTGTAACATGCCAAAATGACGAGGTGCTACAAGAAATATTACAATGGCCCTTATTAATATTTAACTGTAACGTGTTAAAAGGATGAGGTATTTCCAGAAATAGTATTATTATGGCTCGTATTAAAAGTTTTGTTGTTGTGACTGTAACATGTTGAAAGAATAAATTATTACCAGAAATACTATTTTATGACCCCTGATTAGGATTAATGTCGACGTGTTAAAAGAATAAGATATTACGGATAGTATTATATTGCACTCACTTAATTGTCAATGGTGACTCAAATTTTGAGAAATAGAAGGTGTTCTGAATTAATTTTGGTGTCCTCCCACTTCGCCTAATTTAACCTATTAAGTCTGATGGAAAATCTTTAGAGGCAATGTGGGTATGTAGCGCTCTGGATGATTACTAAGGAGTAGTCGAAGTGGGAATGGGAGAGTCTACATGTAGTGATCAGAGGGGTGTTCAAAGAATGACAAAATGAAAGTGACCTTTTTATATACATTTGATACTTTATACTCATTAACATGTCATTAACACATGTCCACTCAATCAAACTGGAGATAATAATCCTCAGGGAAAAGCGTCAGCATTCTTCCCTAAAACTTGAAAGTTTGTCATCATAGATGTTTGTTGTTATTGGCGTTGTCTCAGTTGTTGTTGATAATTGATTGCATTCAGGTCAAGAGGGAATACAAGACTTAATGTTTTACAGTACCTTTACAGCGGTAGATTCGGTACAGCGCTAATATACTGTCTCATTTTATTTTTGTTTACTGGTACTTGTATCCGCCATGGTAAGCATGCCGTCCGCCTCGAAGATGATGTATGAAAGATACTGACACTTGTACATTCGCCATTGCAATAATGTAACATGGTAAACATAACCTGTGTGATATATATACACATATCCTGCACCAAATTCATCTCAAAGTCACATAAAGCTACTTTGACTTCTTTAGCTTAATTTATGTTGTTCTAAGAATTAATGGAGTGCTGGGATAAATAAAATAACTAAATAAATAAATGGTAAACATAACCTGTGTACTTATATATTTCCACATATCCTGCTCCAAATTCATCTCAAAGTCACAAAAGCTACTTTAACTTCTTTAGCTTAATTTATGTTGTTCTAAGAATTAATGGAGTGCTGGGAGAAGGGACACCCCCACTTGGGAACTTAGCCTGTTCCAGTGAGACTCCACAGTTCAGTGATTATAGATATTAGGCGTTCTGATATGTCTGCTCATTAGGCGATGTGGGAAAAATTTAGCAGGAAATTTAAGGCGAAGCGGGTATGCACCTTAATTTTTGTGTGTTTTCTGCGACTTTAGTGGTTTATCTCCCCAATTGATAGACACCCAATTGACAGACAGGCGCATTGACAGACACTGAACTGGAAAAGTTAATTAGGGTAACACCTACTGGTATAATGGTACAGTCCACTGTCTAGTGAGTAGAGTAGGGTGAGCCTGCAAACAGGTTTGTTACTGAGAATTTTGATTGTGTGTAAATAGAACTTTGCTGTAATTAAATGATAATCTGTCTTTTCTTCTCAAAAATGTTTTTCTATCAATTACTTTAGAATATAAAACAGAGGCTTTTATCACTGGAGTGGTTTGATTGTGTTTATTGATTAAAACATATTTCATTCATTCAAAGAGAAAAGTTGGGCACAAGTTACCCTACTCAGAAAAGCTCTCTCACAATAATTACACCATTCATCTTACAACAATGTACACAAGTGACAGACAGGCAAGGATAAAGAGGCGGCAAAAGAGCGTGAAACTGAGAAAGCGTTTGTTTGAGGGATATAGATATGTATATATTTGAAAACTTTCTGATTTTTCAGTAACTGAGAGAACTTTGCATTGCTATGTAAGATAAGATTAATACCAATCAGTGTTCTCTGTAATGAAAACCTTTCTCATATCCATGGCCACATTGACATGAGATTTTTCTTTCCGCGTGGATTAGATTAAAATGATGCAACAAGTCGCGAATATCTAATAACTTATAAAATTATCAGAGTTTCTTAAGTCATAACTTGTCTGCCCACTACACGGTGGGAGTAAATCCTGAAGAAAAACTGGTGCAAATTTGATAAAATATTAATGTTAATTTGCATATTCTCCTTCTCAAGAAAGTAAATCCCATCCCGTTCCTTAATACAACGAACTGGAAGATGCATATCTTGGAGACTCAGTAACTATCTGACCTGCTTCAAGTTGGAGTTTTTCTAATCTATTAGCTTGTTCAGTCAAACATCCATCCCATACCTCACCTCAAAAGTACAAGATGTGGCCTTATAACAGCAGTATATATTTTTTATCCCCATAATGCGTTTAGGTAAGGGGTATTAAAATGGACTCTATCCGTCGTCCTTGCATTTGTCATTTCCAGAGTAGTACTTTAAAACAGTTCAATGTTTCTTCACCAAACTTAGCACATAGATTGGTCTGGTGGTCATAGTGGTGCCTTTTGGTAGTTTGTGAATTCTGCATAAAATATTTGGCGTTTCCAGGGCAACAAGTTTGACTGAGACTGAAATTGGTGGTAGTGCTCTTTTTTCGAGACAGAACTCTAAAAACCGTTCACTATTTCTTCACCAAACTTGGCACATAGATTGGTCTAGTGGTGTACTGGTGCCTTTTGAAAGCTTTAATTCTGAAATGTTCCATTCATTTTAGATGTCTTTTTTGACAATGTTTTCAATTTTTATGATGCCAACACATATGTGTAGATATCAAACTGGCTAAAAATTGCTTGCTCCGTCGGCTTCTGATGATAAGTAACGTGAGCCGTACAAACCTATGTAAACAGCAAAAGCAGGATCGCTACGCAAATCAAAATAGTGTTTACTCTGTTTCTGGATATTTTCAGTGGGAAACTTAAACCATTCGGCTAAAGATAAGCGAAGGATGTAGATTCTCGCCCAAAATAAAGAGTAAAGAAATTCGGGAAGCATTAGTAATGAATGGACATGCGGGTGATGTGACAGATCGTCACATTTTTCTGGCCCGTGGCGGAGGTATCATGTTGGCTTCCGCACGGAACTCTGGGTAGGAGGAGTGGCTTTAACCGCCACAATTGTTTGAGGTAGCTTATGAGCTCGGACCCATAAAAGCGAGTTAAGTTTTTCTTTGCATAGTGATAACAGGACCCTGAACCCAGGTAAAACTAAGACTTTGGGTTTCATATAGGGCTTTAGTTACTGTAGTGAAGAGGTTGGGGCAGTAGGCACAATAATGTAGCTCTGTGGACTGTAAAACAGACTTAGAATATTGTATTATATAGCCACTTCCATCAGCTCTTTATCGTTTGTGTTACATGCCAGTTCAGAAACATCCTTCACTTCTCCACTCAGACATTTATATAAGATTGCATAGAGACTGTGTGTATAAAATGGCAGAAATTTTATGTCTGTAAAATATGTTCACCAAACTTCTGGTTGACACATGTCATTGTATCCCAATTGCGTGATCGATGCACCACTGGATTGCCTGGTCCATGCAGGACTCGATTATTTACATACCGCCGCCATATAGCGTTGAATATTGCTGGAGTTCAAGCGTTCATCAACAATTAAAACCAACCTAAGCACTGACATGATATAATTTAAGTACCTTCGCGTGTAAAACGACATTCACTCATCACTTATCCAAATGTATAACCACTGGTGTGTTTGTGTGATTTACATAGGATTTTTGGTTTAATGTACTTCTTGACCGAACGGTAGTTCAGATGACAAATTATAACGGACAAATACAAATTATTGTGTGAAAATTAGCAGATAAAGAAACTGTGAAAATGAAATCGCTTGTAAAAAATAATTTGGTAACAAAACATAGTGAAAGAGGTGCTATGGGTTTAAAGAAGCATTTTGTGCAGAAATAATAACTCTTAAACCTGCAATATATAGGTCTACAGTATATGTGTGTGCAAAGGTCATATCTTTTGAGTGGTCTATATAAGGTAACAATACTTTTGGGAGTTATCCGACATAAGCCGGAAGTTGCATGGTTTCATTAGGATATTCTCGGTAGCTATCGTTCTGTAGACTGGTTTGCCTTTTCAGTACATCGCTTGCCTTCTTGGCAAATGAAATCGTTACGAGTAAATGTGAGGGTCCCAGTCTATCGCTTTCGGCGAAATACGTTATCAGAGATATGGAAGGTTGAAGCAAGAAGTATTGATTGTAATGGAGCACGTGGGATTTGTTTGACGTATGTTTTGATTTTGATTAAGAACGTGTTTTTATGTTTAAGCGACAGATAATTATCATATCATTTGCATAAAACCTGTAGTTTGTTTAGGGCGTCACTAGAGGGCATGTCGCTGATACTGTTACAAAGAGTTGCTGAGAGGATGGAAGCAAGTCTTCCGATCACCCGAAATTAACTCTTTGGCTTTGCCCAAATTAGTGATCAAGTCCCATTAAAGTAATTATTGTTCATGCCATCAGCCATTGGATGACATGCCCCAGATATAATCACTTTATTCTGCTGTGGTTTGGCTGTTTAACTGCTGAGTTTGGTATAAGTAAGAGACCATGCAACTCAAGCAGCTATTTAGTTATTTATCAGCTAGGGCTGCTAAATCCGACAGAAAGCGGATAAACCTGAAGCCAAACTAAGAAAATAAGATACAATTTATTAACCACTTTAATTAACAAGATACAAACATTCACTATAGGAAAACATCAAGAAGCATTGCTTAAATATTGATGGAATGTCTGAATGTTTTGTATCTATAGTCAGCCTCTGACAAGACATAAGATTTCACGGTAATGATAAAACCTGTTATCATTCTTTTTGATGGAAATGACACAAGTCACTGAAAATATGTTAAAGCACTTTTTGGCATAAATGACATTTCTCAATTTAAGTCCTAAAACTGTCCACCCCAAAGGATAACGCCAGACTAA